TGAGAAAGACATATGCAGGTAAGCACGGTGGAACTAAAACTTTTCATCGATACCGCTGACAATATTAATGGCGTAACCACGACTGTACGGTGAAGTTCACGTGGCTAGGTTAGACTGACTTTGTCGTTGGAAGGCAGTTATTGATCTGTAATGTAGACCTCGACATGCGAACGGGCTGGTAGAAGTCTGTCCAGTGGGCCCCCAAAATTGGTGTTGGGGCCAGGAATCTGAAGACCTTGGATCATGAGGAATCTGGAAGTCGTTTGATAGAAAGTCGAAGAATGCTCTGGAATCCGGAGGCATTTGTAAATATTGCTGAATGATTTTCCAGGATCTGAGTTGTCTTAAGTTGTAATGAAGAATTTCGCGTCGGGTGTTTTCACCCACAGCATTTGCCTACAGGGAATGCGTCGTGAGATGCGGGACCTTTCCCCTGACTTTGTCGAAGGATCCTTCGGGATCCAGGCCAGTTCTTGGGATCCATGCAAGTTTGTGCTGTGAGCAGCGCGGGTTGTTGTCGGCTGGCCGTCGGTGGCCATGACCGGGGAGGCCGGGCTGACGACAGGTGTGGCCCTGCCAGCTCAGGCCCAGACCGGGCTGCCGACAGGTGTGGCCCTACCAGCTCAGGCTCAGACCGGACTGACAACCGGTGTGGTCCGGCCAGCTCAGGCCCAGACCGGGCTGACGACAGGTGTGGCCCGGCCAGCTCAGGCCCAGACCGGACTGACAACCGGTGTGGTCCGGCCAGCTCAGGCCCAGACCGGGCTGACGACAGGTGTGGCCCTGCCAGCTCAGGCCCAGACCGGGCTGACAACGGGTGTGGCCCGGCCAGCTCAGGCCCAGGCCGGGCTGCCGACAGGTGTGGCCCTGCCAGCTCAGGCCCAGACCGGGCTGCCGACAGGTGTGGCCCGGCCAGCTCAGGCCCAGACCGGGCTGACGACAGGTGTGGCCCTGCCAGCTCAGGCCCAGACCGGGCTGACAACGGGTGTGGCCCGGCCAGCTCAGGCCCAGGCCGGGCTGCCGACAGGTGTGGCCCTGCCAGCTCAGGCCCAGACCGGGCTGCCGACAGGTGTGGCCCGGCCAGCTCAGGCCCAGACCGGGCTGACGACAGGTGTGGCCCTGCCAGCTCAGGCCCAGACCGGGCTGACGACAGGTGTGGCCCGGCCAGCTCAGGCCCAGACCGGACTGACAACCGGTGTGGTCCGGCCAGCTCAGGCCCAGACCGGGCTGACGACAGGTGTGGCCCTGCCAGCTCAGGCCCAGGCCGGGCTGACGACAGGTGTGGCCCTGCCAGCTCAGGCCCAGACCGGGCTGACGACAGGTGTGGCCCTGCCAGCTCAGGCCCAGACCGGGCTGACAACAGGTGTGGCCCTGCCAGCTCAGGCCCAGGCCGGGCTGACGACAGGTGTGGCCCTGCCAGCTCAGGCCCAGACCGGGCTGACGACAGGTGTGGCCCTGCCAGCTCAGGCCCAGACCGGGCTGACAACAGGTGTGGCCCTGCCAGCTCAGGCCCAGACCGGGCTGACGACAGGTGTGGCCCTGCCAGCTCAGGCCCAGACCGGGCTGACGACAGGTGTGGCCCTGCCAGCTCAGGCCCAGGCCGGGCTGACGACAGGTGTGGCCCTGCCAGCTCAGGCCCAGACCGGGCTGACAACAGGTGTGGCCCTGCCAGCTCAGGCCCAGACCGGGCTGACGACAGGTGTGGCCCTACCAGCTCAGGTCCAGGCCGGGCTGACGACAGGTGTGGCCCTGCCAGCTCAGGCCCAGACCGGGCTGACAACAGGTGTGGCCCTGCCAGCTCAGGCCCAGGCCGGGCTGACGACAGGTGTGGCCCTACCAGCTCAGGTCCAGGCCGTCCGCCCCGCCGCCCCGCCTCAGGACAGCCCTCTGGCGGCGCGGTCGGCTGGCCGCGTGCCCGAGCCGTGCGCCCCTGGCCGGACTTGGCGATGTGGAGCAGCGGTCCAGCGGCGACAGAGCTGTCTCTAGGCTGGCCACGCGCGCCCTCTCTCTCCTGACCGTCCACTCCTGACAGGTCTTGACCCCAGCGGTGTGACCTCAGTGCGCCGCCGGCTGACCTCACCTGACGGCGTGTGGCGTGTTGTCGCCGCAGACGGGCGGCCGGCGGTGCTCGGCGCGGTGACGTGACACCGGACGAGGTCAGGGGGACGCGATGGCTCCGAGTAGGGCGCGATCTCGGCCGTCATGGACACGTCAGCCGTCGCCGCCGACCACGCTGGTCAGGTCACGGCGCTGACGTGACCGCTCACATTGAAGGCTGGGGCGCGTGCTCTGAACCCAACCGGGCAAGCGGAATACTTCCCACCTGACGAGTTCCCCAAGGGCTGAGGACTTTTGCCAGCGAATGAGAGGGTGTCGCGGCGCCGCCGAGCTGCGTTGCGCCCAGCCAGCCTGTTCGCCGGGGGTGGCCGACCCGCCTCACTGCTCTCAGACCAACCGTTTGCGGTCCGGTTGGAGGTATCCGGTAATCCATGGCAGCGGTTCGCAATACTTCCCCGCCACTGCTATTACTTTAACGAGCGCTGCCTTTGACGGCGCGCTTTCCAACCCGTTTCCAACCAATTTCGCCACACGTATTTCAGACTCGCCATATTTCATCTTGTTGAAAACTACGTGTTGATGTGTAGTGTCCACTTTCGTGATTGAGAGCTTTGTTTTCCTGACTTCGAAACTCATATCTCGTTGCGATCCACTCTCCAGGGCTGGTTCATTCCGCCCTTTAGGGCGGGTCCACTCCGCTGTCCCTGGACGGTCCACCCCGCTCTCCAGGGCTGGTCTACCCCGCTCTCCCTGGAGGATCTACCTCGCTCTCCCAGGGGAGTCTACCCCACTCTCCTGGGTGGGTCTACCCCGCCCTCTCGGGAGGGTCTACCCCGCTCTCCAGGGCTGGTCCGGCCCGCTCTCCCGTGGCCGCTGTGCCCCGGCGCGGTGCGGCCCACAGTGCCGGCAGCGCCGCCTTCGCCGGTCGCCGCCGGGCGCCTGCCGGCCGGCTCCGCCGCCGCCGCCGCCGCCGCCCGGCCGGCCCGCCAGTCTGCGCGCGGTCCGCGGCCGGGTGACGCTGCCCGCCTGTGCCCTCCCCTGGCGCGCGCGCTCTCGATATCTGTGTGAAGGGCACCAGTGGTCCAGTGGAACTCTCCGGTGTCGGGAGGCGTGCACACGTGCAGCAGCAGGTCGTGAGGACTACCCTGAGAGCGTCGGCGAGCCGCAGCCATGTTTGAGGCGGAGGTCAGCTGGGGCTGGGGAGGGGCGGTGCCGTCCGAGTGGGCTGCGCGGCGGCCGCAGCTGGACCGGCCCGGTCGTGACGTGCCGACACCGCCGGCCTGCGTGACTGGAGTCCGTGTTCCACCCATCGAGCGGCTATTGTTAATGCATCTCTGATAAATGATAGCCGCCATTGGGGTGACTTTATTGCTCCCAGGGCAGCGTGTTCTCATGGGCTTCAATCGGAGCCGGATTAAGTCAGATGTCGGCTGGTGTTTTACATGTATTGAAGGCGCTGGAGTAGGATGCGTACGTCAAATGTGTTGGTGTTGGTCGTTTCAAGCGAGATGCACGCAAGGGTTTGCGTACTGCAGCTTATGTTTTCCGTGTAGCTCTCCCTTTACTTTTCACAAATGTGTGGTCCGATGTCTTTTGTACTTCACGTGTCGTATTGTTTGATAAACGAATAGCTTACTGCTGGAAGCGTCATCACTTCGTATCTCGTTTGCACGCTGACGGAGGCAAGGCATCCAATGCGGAAGCCTTGATACCAGGGGACAGCCGTGTTCGGCTGCGAGTATTCAGTTGTTTCTGTTGTCGGTCGGTCAGCTTCCAGCCACGTCCGCGCTGTTGTCCTAATTGAAGTGGTAATTTCAGTGTTAGCCCGCACCTGAGCTGCGCCAGCGAGCAGGCTTGGCTGCGCGCGGACGGGCGGGGTCGTCGGTTCCGACGCGATGGACGGGCGCACCGGTGCCGGACAGGTTCAGTGGCGGTGGCGGTGTCGGTGCGCTCCCACCGTCGGCCGGCCCCGTAACCGCGGCCGGCCCGCCACCCACGGGGACGCTCAATTACCTGGCCGACTGTTGGTGAACAACTTTCCAATTCACATGCGTTCCGTGATGGATCCGCGCCGTTCTGGCGCTGTCCAGTCTGGTAATGGCGGCGTTTCACTGAGCCCGGCTGGAGATTGCTTCTGTCACCGTTTGGGCGCGGTTAGCGGACGAGGCGGTGGTCGCGGCGGCCCCGCCTGTTTACGGGATACTCAGCGGCGGCGGCTCACCACCTCGCCACGGGGGACGAGGTGAGCCGAGCTGGGCGGAGCTTGCGTCGGCTGCGTGCCGTGCCACCGCCAGGCCAGACTCGCTCCGTGGACGTAGTCTGCGCGGGCTCTTGACGCTTCGGCGGTAGGAAACGTCCCTGTGTACACGCGCTCACTGGTGTACGGAGCAGCCAGGCTAGTGCGGCCGTGGCGCCAACTTCCTGTCGGCCTTGTCGTGTCAGGTCTCCGCTCTCAGGCTTAACTTGGCCCTGCTGATTCGGCCCGGAATGTCCTGGGTACACGGGCTCCCCGAACAGCGGTCGGAGATTAGTTCTCATGCGTCATGGCAACCAAGCGAGCAAGCGAGCATATGGCAAGCACCACATTTAGCCGAGCTTTTGTCCAAAGCCCGTGTCGCGATCGGTTTGCCGTTTTGTTCGCTCATGCGTTCCTTCGAGATCATTCAGATGCGTTGTTGGGGCCTTGGCGGCGCCCGCTGGCGTGCCTTTACATTTTTGGCAACAAGACGAGCGACTGAGCGTCTTCCGGCCGTCTAGCGACCCAAACGTCCCACTGGCGTCTCCCCAGTATCCAGACGCCATACTCGCACGGCCTCAGACGCCGGCGCACGACACACGCTCTGTTCGCAGGCTATCGCGCTGAGCTTCTGTGCGGGCCGCCGCGCCGGCCCCGCCGCCGGCAGGGCGCCCTGCCCTTACGCCGCCCCCTCCTCCCCTCGCAGAACATGTACACGGAGACGGTGACGGAGACGAAGCGGACGTACCGGGGCAGGGAGGCGTCACCGCCTTCCGAGTACCGGCCGCCGGCAGGCGGCAACTTGCAGGAGCTGGACACGCTGCTGGACGACCTGAACGAGGCGCGCTACAACGGCAGCTACATCCAACGGCCCACAGGTGAGCAGTACGGGCAGTCGGTACAGATGCCCGGCGCGCTGTTACTGGCGCGGGAAGCTCGCAGGGAGCGGGGTGGGTACGCGCCGTCTCGCCAGTGAGCGGGGTGGGCACGCGCCGTCTCGCCAGAGAGCGGGATGGGCGCGCGCCGGCTCGCCAGGCAGCGGGGTGGGTGCGGACATCTCACGGGTCTCGCCAGGCAGCATTCGGCCTCGTCTCATCGGACCCCCTCCCCCCCATTCCCCCGCTCGACTTGAGCACGCGTCGGTGAAGGATAGGATCCGGCTTTGTGCGTCGCCATGAGGAATGTGCTGATAAGCCTAGTGCTGTTTGCATCGATCCGTCCTCGGGGATTATTAGCCCACTTTCTTTGGTCCGACAGAAGTTATTGCGATCTTTCTGTCGCCCGGTGCGGGGCGTTTGCACGCTGCGCTGTCATTGTCTGGTGCTGAGATGAAGTCATCCCCATCCAAGTTGAGCCCGTTCCCACGCTGTGCACGACGGTCGGCACCCTCTGCAGGGCGTCAGCGGCTGACGCCCGGCCAGCGGGCTTTCCAGGCGCATTCCCTCCCTCTAGGTCTCCAGCGCCGCCATGGGCGCCGCCTAGCCCTCTGTTTACCCGCTACACACGCCCGCATCCCCCCGCCCCCCTAACCGCCAGATGGCGCCGACGTCCTGACCGGCGGGCCGGGCCGGCGGCTGGTCACGTGACGGCCCCGGGCGGCGGCCGGTGACTGCTGCGGCCGGCGGTGTGTGTTTGGTCGTGCCGCACCGCCTCCCGTGAGGTCACCGCCGGACTTTCCCAGAACGAACCGTCACGACCGCGCCCGGACCGGAAGGGATTCGGGGAACGCCGGCGCTCTGCGCGCCGCCCTGCCGCCGCGCTCAGTCGCCGGCTGCTGGTTCGTGAGCGGGGTTCAGTCTGCCTGCGGTTCGCTGTTGATTTGACCCGGTGGTTTTTGTCGCGGTCGGCCGGAGGCCGCCCATTGCGTCCTCGCGCGCGCGCGCCCTCCGGCTGCCTTGGCGCGCTTGTGAGGCGGGGCTTCGCTGTCGCGATTGCGCGCGTTAGGCAATCAGCGCCGCCTGCCTATCCATCTGACCGCCTCTGCCCTCGCGCCGCGCTGGTCACCCGTCTGGCGACCTCTGTTTCTCGCGCCGGCCTCGTTGATATGCACGGCTGGCGCCGTGACCGATCAAAAGGACTCGGTTTCGCAAGGCGATGACGTCACGCACCTGGCAGCCACGTCACCTGGCTTCGTCACTGACGCTAGCCGTCACGTCCCTGAGAGCGTGACGCAAGTGGGCGGCGGGCTCACCGGCCTGCCGGGTGGCAGAGCGCACGGCTGACGGCCGATGCGGGTGCTGCGCGCAGAGCAAGCTGTTGGCCGGCCTCACCTGCGCTAGAGTAGAGGCGGTTCGAAGTTCGGTCAAAGTATCGTAGTTCCAGGGCGTGTCGATTGCCAATGGTCATCACAGCGGTCAAGGCGTTGGTTGGCCGGGCCCGGACTGTGGTTCCCTCACAGTGTGGGGCGTGAGGTCTTTCCCGTTCAGCGATACTGTTCTCCGATACCTCACACATAGTGTTCATCAGCCGGGCTCCCGCCGCTTCGTTTCCCATAATTTGTCTCAATTACGATCTCGCATGTGCAACCGGATCGCCCAAGGCTTAATACGCCTTCGGTCCCCTCATTGGCTTGGTCTGCTCTGCCCGTGCCCGTCCTGCCCCGGCGGTCGGTCCGGCCGATATCTGCAGCTCGTCTGCTCTGCCCGTGCCCGTCCTGCCCCGGCGGTCGGTCTGGCCGATATCTGCAGCTCGTCTGCTCTGCCCGTGCCCGTCCTGCCCCGGCGGTCGGTCCGGCCGATATCTGCAGCTCGTCTGCTCTGCCCGTGCCCGTCCTGCCCCGGCGGTCGGTCTGGCCGATATCTGCAGCTCGTCTGCTCTGCCCGTGCCCGTCCTGCCCCGGCGGTCGGTCCGGCCGATATCTGCAGCTCGTCTGCTCTGCCCGTGCCCGTCCTGCCCCGGCGGTCGGTCTGGCCGATATCTGCAGCTCGTCTGCTCTGCCCGTGCCCGTCCTGCCCCGGCGGTCGGTCCGGCCGATATCTGCAGCTCGTCTGCTCTGCCCGTGCCCGTCCTGCCCCGGCGGTCGGTCTGGCCGATATCTGCAGCTCGTCGGCGTCAGGTCTCATCACTCGGCCGCGAGGACGTCCAGACTGCAGGGGCCACCGCAGGCGGCAGGCCGGGCTCTGTTGTGACAGGCGCCCGCGGCACGGAGCTGGGTCAGGGGAGGGGCTGCACACATCTGGCGCGCCGAGTCGGCAGCGGGCTCAGACTGCACCGGACAGGGACGCCGTCGGAGCTGTCGTGGGTCGTGTGGAGCCAGGGAGAGTCTGCTGGGAGACGTGCTTCTTAGGGAAGCATGCATTTGCGGCATGCTCAGGGAGCTCTCATTAACCCAACGCGTCTAGAGAGGCATGCGTCTGTCTGACGTTGCACCGCGACATTGAGCCCGTCATTATCCGGTGGGCAGGCGGCCCACTGAAAAACACCGTGCGCGCCAGATCGATCAGTCTGAGTTGGCGGCGGGGAGCTGGGCGCCGCCCCTCGGGACCGGCCGGAGCCAGGCGGCCGCGGCCCGGCCCGGCCCGGCTCGTGTCCGGCCGGCCGGCTTACCGGCGCGGCGGCCGGCTGCCATCGGTTTACTGTCAGCCGAGCCGCCGGCCGTGCCATCTGCGGCCGGCGCCGAGCACGGCGCGACAGGCGGCGGCCGGCGGCGGCGTGACCGGCGCGGCGGCACGTCACTGCCGGGCGGGCGTGACTCAGAGCCGGCCGCCGCCGCGGAGGCAGTGTCGACAGAGCCGCGGCCGGCCGGCCGCTGACGGACGCCGTCCGGCCACGCCGGTGCAGGCCCGGTGAGCGGGCGCCGCCCCGCGCTGCCCCGTGCTGCCCGCGCCGTCCCGCGCTGCCCCGCGCTGCCCGCGCTGCCCCGCGCCGTCGGCCGGCCTTGACGCTCCGGAAGCCGGCTGCTGGAACGGCTGCAGTAAATTATTTCGCTGGGGCGGCTGGGCCCACTCATGGCGGTGTTGCGGCGCGTGGCTCTGCACCGGGCTGTTTCCGCTGCTGGCAGGATGTAGGCGCTTGCGGTTTGAATGCCCTGCGGATGACTTGATGGAACAGAGACACCTGTTGGCCAAGAGCAGCGGTGCTAGTGCTGAGATTTTCCATACGAGGGCAGTTTGCAAAATTTTAGGGTAACTGCGCGTGTATGGGTGAGCGCGAAGACGCGCCTGCTCTCTGGCACACATTTTCGTGCGCTAGTTATGTGCCATGGGAGTTGGCAGCCATTCATCACATTCAGTGGTATGTTATCATCTTGTGTCCCCATTAGTTGGATCTTGTTTTTTTTTCGTGTATCACAAGCCGAGCAGCTGCACGTGTGGCCGCGCCTCCCGCGTGTCACCGTGTGTCATCGTCCATCACCTCATGTCATCTCTGACGGACGTTCTTATTGTTATGATTATTATATATTATTATCCCCGTGTCACCAGAGGTTTCGCTCCATGTCACCGTGCCCCATTGCGCGGCTCCGGCGGCACCCGGTCCTTGTTCGTGTCTCAGGCTGCTCGTCTCTCGGGGTGGCCATGTCCGTGTTTCTCAGAGTCTCTTTGTTCGTGTCTCGGAGCGTCCGCGGCCCGGTCTCAGGGTGTCCCTGTCTCATTGTGTCCCTGTCTCCGGGTGTCTGTTTCAGGGTATCTCCGTTTAGGGTGTCCCTATCTCAGAGTGTCCCTGTCGTAGGATGTCCCTGTTTCAGGGTGTCCCTGTCTCAGGGCGTCCCTGTCTCAGTGTGTTCCTGTCTCGGAGTGTCCGTGTCTCAGTGTGTCCCTGTTGTAGGGTGCCGCCGTCTCAGTGTGCTCCTGTCTCAGTATGTGTGTCTCGGTGTGTCCGTGTCTCAGAGTGTCCCTATCTCAGTGTGGCCCTGTCTCGGAGTGCCCCAGTCTCGGTGTGTCCAAGTATCAGTGTGTCCCTGTTTCAGGGCGTCTGCGTCTCGGTGTCACAGTCTCCGCGGCCACGTGTCAGAGCGTCTGTGTCCGTGTTTCAGAGTGTCCGGCGCCGGTGAACGGCACGGTGGCAGTGCACAAGACCCGGCCGTCGGTGGACGCCCTCCTCGACGAGCTCGACTCGGTGCCTAGCTCGTGAGTACCACCGCCGCGGCCGCCGCCGCTGACGCACCCGTCATCTGTGCACCGCCACAGACCCGGCGGGCGCACCTGAGCTCGTGTGCACTCTGAGAGACTCCCGCAGCACTCCGCACCTGTCGTGCCGGGCGAGGTGCTGCCACGGCACGTGATCTGAAGGCATGCAGTGCAAGGGGAGCGCCTTACATCTCGGATCTGGCCCGTCGGTTCACTAGAGATGCCGTCGATGTCGCGACGTCGTTGGCTGTGAGCATTGGCTTCAGGTCGGCAGCAATCTATCCCAGCATCAGTCTCGCGGAACGCTGTCGCCACAGTGCTGTGGCACTCGGCCTGGCTGCTCTGGAGGTGCATTACGTTGTCGGCTAGGCAGCCTGTGGGCCCGCGTCAGGACCGGCTGGCGTTTCCCGCGCTCCGGCCGGGTCACATTATCCGAGCAGCCGGTGATAATCGGCCGTCACGGATCACACAGCAAAGCACTGCAGCTTCTGAAGTCCCAGCGCCTAAGGCTGGCGCGTCGAAACAGGCAGCCGCTTCCTGATGCTACAACTTAGGTTGTGTGAACTGGGCGGTCCGTTCTACTGAGCATAGTGCTGCCATCTCTGGGCGAGATAGATGTACTAAGCTTTCGGCGGTAACCGTTGCTCCTACGAAGCCTGAAGCATTCGTCTCACCGACTCAGCAAGCCGTTTGACAGCTGATGGCTACCGTGGACGGGCGGAATGCTCGCCGTGTATGGGTGGGCGTAGCAACCATTGTGTCCACTGTCTGGTCCGGGCTCACGCGACGTTCCGCCCATGGTGGCAGAGGTTCGACTCGGAAGCTGGCGCGCGCATCGCTGGCCTGTGTTGTTGCCGCTTCTTGATCATGCATTGATGGACAAAACAAGATGCGATGTTGGTCAGTTCTCGGCTTCCAAGCTCCCTAAGACATGGAAGCTGTGATTTAAGAGCACGGAGGCTAGATTTTTGCTTACAGACCATTAAATCTATGATGCGGACGGCCCCGCCCTGCATGACTGATCGAATTCAGAAGTCTCACGAGACTGATCGAAGCCAGATCTCACGAGACTGATTCGAGCAAGACCGTAGGTCGTAGGCCCGGATCCTTTTTGTGAAGAGCAGAGGTATGTCGCGCTACAGAATTTCTGAGAAGCCAATAGAATCCCCTGGCCGTCAAGAATGTTGACGATTACCAGAAATTCTAGTCTTCATGTCAGCTTGTGTTGTAGACCAGTTTGATAGCGTAAAAACGAAGCTTGTCACCAGTTGTACAGCAGTCACAAAGGTTGTCCTGTTACCGCTATATACGTGTGATAGCGAGGACCGGCATTTGTTGTTAGTGAGAGTTTAAAGGAAGCAGTGGGTATATTAACCATTAGGGAACCGTTTCAAGTGTCGGACGTACCTGTTTTGGGGACCTCCAACGCTCCAATGGCTTCCATACCCAAACCCCTGGTGGTAGGTGATAAGACTGAACGGAGCTCACCGAAACTGCTGCTGGGGAAAGGTGCCTATGGTAGCTGGAACACTTTCAGCTCTCGAGTTGACGAACTTTCTGTGCGTTTCTGCAACACCAAATTATAAGTCTAAGCTGCTTCTCCCACAATCTTCTTCCGCAAGTGCCGCTGTTTCCCAGTTTATTGCCAGAGTCTGGGGACCGCTCCGAGCAGTAGCGGATTTTCATTACCGCGTGCGGCTGCCGTGACCGTTTCGCCGGTGCACCAAGGTCACGCCCCCTCCCCCCATCCCTCGCCTCGCTGTCTCCACACGCCGCGCCGCTGTTGTGCCGGGCCAGCCGGCTACACTTATATGTGCCATGGCGGCGCCCGGTCGCCCGCATGCCGGCGTCGTGCGGCATTGTTGGGCGGGCGACGGCGGCGGCGGCGCCGCACGGGCCTCACGCTGCCTGGTGACTCACGTATGCCGGGCGAGCGGCCTGAGTCGGTCCGGCGCCGGAGTCCGCCGGCCTCTGCTGTCCAGCAGTCATGGACACTGCCCTCCCGCGGCCCTACAGACACGGACCCTGCCCTCTGCGGCCCCGCAGTCACGGACACTGCCCTCCCGCGGCCCTACAGACACGGACCCTGTCCTCTGCGGCCCCGCAGTCACGGACACTGCCCTCCCGCGGCCTTACAGTCACGGACCCTGTCCTCTGCGGCCCCGCAGTCACGGACCCTGCCCTCCCGCGGCCCTACAGACACGGACCCTGCCCTCTGCGGCCCCGCAGTCACGGACACTGCCCTCCCGCGGCCTTACAGTCACGGACCCTGTCCTCTGCGGCCCCGCAGTCACGGACACTGCCCTCCCGCGGCCCTACAGACACGGACCCTGTCCTCTGCGGCCCCGCAGTCACGGACACTGCCCTCCCGCGGCCCTACAGTCACGGACCCTGTCCTCTGCGGCCCCGCAGTCACGGACACTGCCCTCCCGCGGCCCTACAGTCACGGACCCTGTCCTCTGCGGCCCCGCAGTCACGGACACTGCCCTCCCGCGGCCTTACAGTCACGGACCCTGTCCTCTGCGGCCCCGCAGTCACGGACACTGCCCTCCCGCGGCCCTACAGTCACGGACCCTGTCCTCTGCGGCCCCGCAGTCACGGACACTGCCCTCCCGCGGCCCTACAGTCACGGACCCTGTCCTCTGCGGCCCCGCAGTCACGGACACTGCCCTCCCGCGGCCCTACAGTCACGGACCCTGTCCTCTGCGGCCCCGCAGTCACGGACACTGCCCTCCCGCGGCCTTACAGTCACGGACCCTGTCCTCTGCGGCCCCGCAGTCACCGACAGGCCCTGCAGTCACGGACACTGCCCTCAACGGCGACACGTTCTCGGAGTGGCTGTGACGAGACCCTGCTCATCGACTAAGTAGTCACCCGAGGGGGTTACCGTTCGCGTTCAGAGAGCTTCTCCAAATACCAGCAGCCCTAGATGTCAAGCGTAGGGCGTATTGTAGCGCGGCTAACTGAGGCGGCAGAACTGAGAGCCTCGGGTAACCACTGCCAGCAAAGAACACGCCTGGGTTTTGTGGTTAGTTGTCGGCGCCGTCCGCTCTGTGGGGACCGAAAGCCTCTCGGGGACGCCTCGATGTCGCCGATGTGCGCAAGTGCCCATCGTCGTTGTCATCGACTGGCTCCGGGTGTCATCTCGCCTCCAGTGTGGGTACCGTGTGAGGCTGAGCCAGCCCTGTACGGTGTGCACTGGGCTGGGGACACGGCCCCGCGTGAGCCTGAGCCAACCCATGTGCTGTCCGTGTTCCGCCGGCGGTGCCTCCCGCGCTGCATGCTGATAAGTATGCGGTTCCGGTCGGAGCCGGGTGACGGTCGGGTGTGTGGCGGCCGCTTCCGGTGCCGTGTGGGCGCGCGGGTCTCGTGATGCAATCGGTCCGACCGGAGGCTCAGCATCACCCACCGCACCGGGCTCAGCCGGCGGGGGGTGGTGCGGGGCGTCTGGTCCGGCGGGCTGGCCGGTCTGCAGGCCCGGCGGTCTAACTGGTCTGCAGATCTGTGGGCTTCACTGCTGCGGCACGCTAGGCATGCTGCGTACGCGACGATGTTTTGGTTATGTCTTCATTGTGCAACACAAATTGTGATGGCATTTGTGTATTAGGGAGTGTTGAGTGTCGCGGGACTCAGAGCCGGGCCGTGAGGCTCAGAGCCGGGCCGTGAGGCTCAGAGCCGGGCCGTGAGGCTCAGAACCGGGCCGTGAGGCTCAGAACCGGGCCGTGAGGCTCAGAGCCGAGCCGTGAGGCTCAGAACCGGGCCGTGAGGCTCAGGGCCAAACTGCAGGGCTTAGAGCCGGGCTGCGAGGCTCAGAACCGGGCCGCGAGGCTCATGGTCGGGCCGCAGGGCTCAGAACCGGGCCGCGGGGCGCTAGACGGACTGCCGGACTCCGAGCCGGGCCGCAAGGCTCAGAACCGGGATGCGAGACTCAGGGTCGGGTCGTGGGGCTCAGCTCCGAGCCGCGGGACTCTGAGACGGGTCACAAGGCTCTGAGCCGGACTGCGGGGCTCTGAAACGGGCCGCGGGGCTTAGAGCCGGGCCGCGGGGTGGCTGAGTCCTGGTTTGGACGGACCGGCGTCACCATCAGCCGCATCGGATCGATACTGGTAAAATCAGGGCGTGGCCGCCTGCGCCGACTCCACGTCGGCCCAGCCCCCAGGGAGCGCCGCATGCCATGGGCGGTCCCAGGGGCGCAGCCAGACGACAAGCCGACACGGTAGCGTGGTAGACACCGCCGGTGGCCGGCGCCGGCGCCGGCCGGCCGCCAGGCCCTCTCGCAGCGCCCCCTCTGGCGGCCGGCGCCGCCGCTGATGACGGCCCGATGACGTCAGCCGGCTGGTGGGCCGCGCGAGCCGGCTCGGCGCGCTTCCAGCGGACGGCACAGAACAGGCGGCGACCCGCCCCCGCCGCCGCCGCCGCGCCGCTGGCCGTGCCAACTGGAGCTGGGCGGGCGCCGACCGGGGACGCGTGTGACACGTGGGCGCCGGGCGCCGCCATGGGGCACCGCGGCCAGCTAATGGAGGTCATCGAAATCGTGGACTACGTGCAGCCGCCGTGAGTACGCGGAGGGTGGTGGACGTGTCTCAGTCCCCGGCACCGGCGCCGGCGCATGTGGGGATGCGACCGTCGTCGCCTCACTACTGAGCCAGACCGGGATGAACGGGAGCGTGGCGTTCCCCCGTCCTGTCCGAGGGAAAGGGAGGACACGTGGCCAGCGCGGGCGGGGCTAGCCTGTGCCAGCCGTCCTGACGCTGGAAGGCTTTGGCTGGTCGGCTGGCGCGACGCGATTGATGCTGTCTTCTCCCTGTGCTCGCCGTGTGTCATGGGCGGGTGTGGCGGCTCTTCCCCACGTGGCTGACGCCTGCGCGCCGCAGGGCCCGCCGCATGCGACGGCGTGGGGCGTGGCGCCCCCCTGCGTGGCAGGTTTGGTCGTCGAGCCGTGCGCCAGACCTGCTGGGCCGTGGAAGGGGTGGGGTGAGGGGCGGTGCGACGCCCCTGATAGCAAGGACCCTTAGGCTGGCACCGCACACGGTACAGCTATTGGTGTTGGAGTGGGAACACAGAACGTCTGCGATGGGCCGTTGGTTTTACTGCTTGGATCCTGCATGCACCGTTGAGCTTCATGAATTATTCTCGTTTGTTGCTGTCTGGAATTATATACGGAATCACAACCAAAGATAGACCTAGACAGTCATAGAGTCAGACCCAGTGAAACAGACTGTTACCATGTTATCATAGTGAGTTGTGAGTTCTATATTTCTTCCTGTTGTAATTTCACTCAGCGAATTGGCAAGAATGTGCATTTCCACCCGTCCCATTGATACGCGGGCGTTGTTGGCATCCATGTTGGCAGTCCTCCAGTGGGAAGAGGCAGGTAGGAATGTGGCCGCCTGCGGAGCATTGCCATGATGGTCCGACATAAGTCCTGAATGGCACACGTGTTTACCAACGCCTCCCACTCATGTGACCACCACAGACAATACGTCCGCGTGCATCGTTGCTGAACGCGCGATTCTAGCAAGCACATACCACATGGACTCATCTGTTTGCTCCTGTCCGCTGGTGAATGCGCGTCGAGGCATAACTGGATGCATCCTCTGTCGTTGGCTTCAAGAGTAATTGGTGTAGAACTTCAGGATAGTGGCATCGCTAGGTCCAACGGCACGGTTGGTCCTTTTCAAAACAAACATCGTTAATTAAAAGTTCCTTTGTGTCAGGGCTCTTGAGGGTGAGACTCCCCTGTTCCATAAACCGCGCACGACGGTTTATTGTCTAGCGTCTGAAGGGCTCGTTAAGTGTCACATTCCGTGGTACAGGTGGTAAATGTGACTAAGGTAAATCTGGTGCGGTGTTCATTGAGTGTGTGCGTGAGTTGGGCGGGTGCTTTGGGCGTGATGTTGTCTGAGTATAAGTGTGAGGTGGGTGGGCTCTCTCAGCGTTGTATTCGGAGTATGTGCGTTAATTGGGCGTGTCCCTAGGCGTGGTGTTCTCTGAGTGTGTGCGTTAGGTGGGCGCGTCCCGAGGCGTGGTGTTCTCTGAGTGTGTGCGTTAGGTGGGCGCGTCCCTAGGCGTGGTGTTCTCTGAGTGTGTGCGTTAGGTGGGCGCGTCCCTAGGCGTGGTGTTCTCTGAGAGTGTGTGTTAGGTGGGCGTGTCCCTAGGCGTGGTGTTCTTTGAGTGTGTGCGTTAGGTGAACGTGTCCCTAGGCGTGGTGTTCTCTGAGTGTGTGAGTTAGGTGAGCGTGTCCCTAGGCGTGGTGTTCTCTGAGTGTGTGCGTGTAAGGTGGGCGGGCGCTCCGGGCGTGGTGCCCGGCGCAGCTACGCCGCCGTCCGCCCCGGCCCGCTGGAAGCCGACGACAGTCGCCGCGTTGTTAGCGGGCGCTGCTCGGCCGCTGCCAGCGTGCCGGCCTCTACGGGCGGCCCTCGTTAGTCAGCGCGACGCTGGCACGGCCCTCCGACGCCGGCCGAGCCGGCCGCGACCGTGGCGTCCTCATTCAGATGGTGGACTGGCGACGGATGCCTCCCCGGCGGTCAGGCGCCCTGGGCCTGTCGGCGCTGAAAGCGAACGGTTGTGCTGGGGCACCCTCGGCCGCGTGCCGGCTGCCGCCCTGGCAGATGCCTGCTGGTTGTAAGCTTTGGAAGCTCATCCGCTGAGCTGACTGTAGTTCAGGCGCTCAGGAATGGCGTCGCGCTGTTTTTGCCGAATGGTTTAGGTCGGCCCTTGTCTGCCTGGCAGACTCCGGGTGGCTGCCAATCGGACAACGGGCTGAGTGTGCGCCTCCCCCTCAGCGGAGCGGAAGAACTGGGTGTGCACCGCTCTCCCAGCTGAGTTAAAGGATTGGCTGAGCGCCTCCCCCTGAGCCGAGCTGAAGGATTGGCTGTGGGACTCCTCCTCAGCCGAACTGAAGGATTGGCTGTACGCCTTCTCCTCAGCTGCTGGCTCGGCCAGCTCCTGGTCCTTCTAGCCGCTATCCTGCACCATCGCACATGACACTTTCTGGACTTCTCAGGATGGCATTTTGTGGCTATCATTGGATGCCAGTTTTATCTACTAATCCCATGCAAAACGTTTCAGTGAATAGTCGACATGGTAATTTTGAACATTTTTTTGAATACTACTCTTTTATCGTGTTTCACACTCTGATTCCAAATGGTTTTAATGTGTGCACGGGACAAAATGGGCGTTATGTGACCGCGTAGTCGAAGCGCCCGAAATCCCCAATAACTAACCATATTTACGAAAGGGTTTTGGAACCCACTGCACATTCTTCGGGAAGTGGATACGTGTTACGCTGGGCAACAGGCGGACAGACGTGGCGGCGCTTATTTCAATCCCGTCGGCGAATGACGGCCTCCCGGCGCGTCGCGCGCCCTCTGACCGTATAAGGTGGGCGGCGCCCGCCGGTACCAGCTCACCCGACTGCGCCGTCTTTCAGAAACGCCAAGACCTACGAGACGCGGACAGTGACGGTGACAGAGAGTGTACCGGACGGCTGCAAGAGCGCCTCGTCCGCCACGCAGGAGCTGGATGATCTGATGGCCTCGCTCTCCGACTTCAAGGTACGCTCTCGGACAGAGGCGACTGGGGCCGGCTGATGCCGTGACAGCACATGTGCTGCAGCATTGTCATGGATCCGTCGCCGGCTGGTTTTGCAGGCCGGACCGGGCGAGCAATGTTTTACCGCTTCGATGCCGGCTTGTTTGCATAATTGCAGGACAGTATGTGCTCGTATGACCTATAATTGATGCAGGAGGGCTGGCTGTGGGCGCGCTCCAAAGACTTCACAGAACAGAGACGTGGAGACGTGATATGTAGAGGAGTCTTATACGACATTCGCTCAAGATCTGTGGAAGGTTTTTTTTTTAGGGAAGCATTTGATCTCGGAGAATGGCGATGGGGACTCATGGCTTAATGTTTGTCTCCGAAACCCCTTTCCCAAATGCCACCCGTGCTGACACAAGAAGAAAATCAGCAAACACGCCTAGGTAAACACGATATCAGCTGGTCTGTTTATGGAAAGGTCCGTCTTAATGGACGGAGACCATTCACCGGTGGGGCATGCTGGTCCGGCCTGCCAAAGCCAACAGGTGGTGTCATCCTCTGGTGGCGGCCGATCGCCGCGCCCCCTATAAGCACGGAGCCCGACACGGGCGGCGCTCCGGCAGGCGGACGCCGCTCAGGCGGCTGCCGAACGAGAGGTGCGGCCGACACCGCGCCTGCGCCGCCCGGGCAGGCGGACGCTGTTCAGGCGGCTGCCGAACGAGAGGTGCGGCCGACACCGCGCCAACGCCGCCCTGGCAGGCGGACGCCACTCAGGCAGCTGCCGAATGAGAGGTGCGATCGACACCGCGCCAACGACGCCCTGGCAGGCGGACGCCACTCAGGCGGCTGCCGAACGGGAGGTGCGGCCGACACCGCGCCAGCGCCGCCCTGGCAGGCGGACGCCACTCAGGCGGCTGCCGAATGAGAGGTGCGATCGACACCGCGCCAGCGCCGCCCTGGCGGGCGGACGCCACTCAGGCGGCTGCCGAACGGGAGGTGCGGCCGACACCGCGTCAACGCCGCCCTGGCAGGCGGACGCCACTCAGGCGGCTGCCGAACGGGAGGTGCGGCCGACACCGCGCCAACGCCGTCCTGGCAGGCGGACGCCACTCAGGCGGCTGCCGAATGAGAGGTGCGGCCGACGCCGCCCTGGCAGGCGGACGCCACTCAGGCGGCTGCCGAACGGGAGGTGCGGCCGACACCGCGTCAACGCCGCCCTGGCAGGTGGACGCCACTCAGGCGGCTGCCGAACGGGAGGTGCGGCCGACACCGCGCCAACGCCGCCCTGGCAGGCGGACGCCACTCAGGCGGCTGCGGAATGAGAGGTGCGGCCGACACCGCGTCAACGCCGCCTGTAGACACTTGTGCCGACAGGCCGCACTTAATGGCTTGTTAGTACTCAACTTTATGTCGCGTATCAGTCAGACCGGACCACCTGGTGGCGACGAAGTGAGTTAGTGCCGTCCGAGCGGCTGCGTACGGGTTCTGTTTTTCTTCCATGATGTACATGTGACGTTTGTAACGTATGTGCTCTGGGGAGACGTGCCGTCTGCGCCGTCCCTGTGTCGCTGTTTTAATTGGACGGCGTCCTGTTTGTCCGTGCCGCGTGGCTCCGGCCACAAACGAGCAGCTGTATTGGTGCCGATGGCGGCCGGTTTGTGTGGGCTCTGCTGGCCGCGGCTCGGTGGTCACGCCAGGCTAGAGTCTGTATCGGCGCCGGTGGTGGCCGGTTCGTGTGGACTCTGCTGGCCGCGGCTCGGTGGCCACGCCAGGTCAGAGTCTGTATCAGTGCCGATAGCGGCCGGTTCGTGTGGACTGTGCTGGCGGCGGTTCGGTGGCCATACCAGGCCAGCGTCTGTATCAGTGCCGATAGCGGCCGGTTCGTGTGGACTCTGCTGGCGGCGGTTCGGTGGCCATACCAGGCCAGCGTCTAGCGGTCTGTCCGGCTCTGGCTGAGCACTGCATAACAGGCGTCGGTCTTTTGTTTGTTATCGCAGCTCGGCACAGAGGCGGGCCGGGGTCTGGGTCGTCAGGGGAGGGCGTTCTGCGAGGGGCAGTGCCGGGCCGGGGCCGAGGTCTGGGTCGCCAGGGGAGGGCGTTCTGCAGGGGACAGTGCCGGACCGGGGCCGGGGTCTTGGTCGCCAGCGGAGGGCGCTCTGCAGGGGACAGTGCCGGACCGGGGCCGGGGTCTGGGTCGCCAGGGGAGGGCGTTCTGCAGGGGACAGTGCCGGACCGCGGCCGGGGTCTTGGTCGCCAGGGGAGGGCGCCCTGCAGGGGACAGTGCCGGACCGGGGTCGGGGTCTTGGTCGCCAGGGGAGGGCGCTCTGCACGGGCCGGCGTTGACGGGTGCCTGAAGGACGGGCCGGCGTTGACGGGTGCCTGAAGGACGGGCCGGCGTTGACGGGTGCCTGAAGGACGGGGTGGCGTTGACGGGTGCCTGAAGGACGGGGTGGCGTTGACGGGTGCCTGAAGGACGGGGTGGCGTTGACGGGCGCCTGAAGGACGTGGACGGTGGCGTGGGTTCGCCCGCGGCGGGCGGCTACCATCCGATGTCTCCGCGCCGCCTCTGCCACAGCCGCAGCAGGGCCGACCCAACCTCGCACGTCAGGGGAAAGGGCGACGCAAGAGGGCGTTCCCGTTGCGGGCTGCAGGGATGTACGAGACCAACGTCGAAGTAAGGTACGCTGCCTATAAAGGCATGCAAAAATAACGAGATAGACGATGAGCACGCTGCAGCCGAGGCACGTGCATGTGAACAGCTTTTGGAAATTCAGGGTGATTGATGAGTTATTCTATTGTTTCTCGAAATACCCCCCGTGCCTTTCATAGGCTGGGCTGTTTGTTGGTTTATGGCCAGAAGTCTGTTGTGCTGTGCATTACATTGCGTTTTTAGTATCTCGTTTCCTTTCATCAGTTCTGGCGGACTACTGCCAGTGGTGATGATACCAGCCAAAAATTAGTTTTGGCGTCTAACAGTCATCGGGGACTGGTTGAGCACATGACATACATCCAGGACTTCAGGCGTGATGCTAAATATCGAGAGTGATTTGGAGGTCCAGGCCCCGCAAAAGTATTAACCGTAGCACTCTCAGCTACCAGCAGTACAAGCAATACATGCGAGGCTCAAGATGTCAAGACGCGGTTTTTACATGTCAAGTCTAAAACGACTGCAAGACTACGAACCCAAGAATGACGGCGCAGCTTGTCTATGTTCTGTTCACTTCAACTTTGTTTGTTTCCAGTTGGCTTGGACAATATGTGTCGAGCTGTGTGGATAGTACGGGCCATCTGTGAACCTGAGGTCGTTCTGTTGACTCGTGCTTCAGTTCACCCGCGCCGCAGGATATCGGCAGAGTAGTCTAGCAGATTCGGTCGAGCCAAAGAAGCGAGGCTTCTTCCGCTAACGCCACGTGAAGCCTGAAAGGAGACCATTGTCTCGATGGGCGTACCTGCGCTATGTTTCCGGTGCAAAAACGTGTTAATGTGAGCCCCCCCCCCCCCCTCCCTCTCGTGCTGCGGACTAATTCGAAGCTGGCAACGTCGGAGTGCTACGGCGTCTATGAACGGCTAGTTATTTACACGCTGCTAGAGACAGCCCGTGCCAAGTGCTGGCGCGTTCGGGTTGTGAGAGCGACATAGTAAGGCCATTTTTGATATGGTTTAGGTCAGCTTGGAGCCGCCGTCCACTGCATTGGAACAGCAACCCAACCTAATACTTCATGGGGCCCGATTCTGTGATGCTATGTATGTCTATGGTACTTATTCATCAGAATTTGTGTTGTGGAGCTGCTCTGTTCGTATTTGTTTTTATGTGTTGTTTATCTCTGTTATGCCAGCGTCGTCCAACGTTGAAAATTAATTGTGAATCGTTGGGTGGGATCCCAGTGTAAATAGTTCCGATGGACACTTGGTATCGTATCACGGAGAACTGGAGCTGTCCAATTATTAGTAATATTATTCTTTCGCGTCTCAAAGTTTCTGTTGTACGTCAGAGGTAAACAAAAAAGTGAGTGATGCAATTAGTTTGAGATACGTGGACAGTATCAGTGGCTCTGATTTAGGACGTAACTTGCGTCATGTGGCCTGGATTTTCTGATTGAGCATTTTCACCGTTCCCGAACGCTTTGGTACAGGTTTTTGGTGATGCCGTAGCCAGAAAAACTGGGCAGACCGCCCCGGGGCGCGTCCCGTGTTTAGCGTCCCAAGAAGTTCACATTTAAAATTCAGATATAGTTCAAATTAAGCACATGGTTTGGTTCATGTTATGTTCATATGAAACCGTATTTACGAAATTGTCCAGTGCATTAGCGAGGGGCGTTATTCACATAGATAAGACAGTATTATTACCCTTAGTCCTCGGAGAGAAACCAGGAGAATGAGGATATAGTTGGTTAATATTTCGGCAACTTACCTTAATCGAAACAATGGCAGAAGAAATCTGTTTCGATAAAGGTATGTTGCCGACATATCAACCCATCGATATCTCCATTCTCCTGGTTCTTCTCCGAGGAATGAGGGTAATACTTATGTCTTGTCTATGCGAAACCTGATTTCATAAAAAAACATTCATTATGATTCATAATTGGCGCTGGGCGTCGGTGAGTCAGTGACTGTGGAGCGTTGGAATGAGGGCGGGAACCGGATCGGGCCGAGTCCGTTCCTGACATGGGGCAGCCATGTATGGACTAGAGAAGCAAGCTTGTCAAATGCTGTCTCGAACCCGCCTATTTCCAGTTATGCATGATACCTCAGCCGGCGCACTCCTTCGACCTCCTCGGGATCTCTATCAATGTGTATCTCAAGATGAGCGTCGGAGTGTCGCGAACTGAGTTTAAAGGGATGGAGCCCCCCCCCCCCCCCGACCGAATACGAAACTCCACCCCTGCTGAAGGGTTTTGTGTTTGCGGAAAGCCGGCGAACTCCAGATCAACTGAAGCGAGCGATCAGTACTGCCACGCGCAAGAAAGCGTCGAGCACATGCTCTCGTGACCCAAGAGGCCGACGGCTGCGCCACCTTGTGTGTTGGTCTGAACGGAGCGGACCACGCGCTCCCGTCAACGATCAATTGGAAGGATTGTTTCATAAATGTATTGGAATATATTTGCATTGTATTAGGTGCTTAACTGCTCGGTTGAGTTTTTCATATTTGATGCAGAATGGAAAGGTTAGGTTCAATTTGTCGGCACCTTCCAGCGAACTGTACCACCGCTCACCGCCTGTGGTACAGTTCATTGCTGCCGCGTGCCGTACCGCTCGAGGGTGTGGCCCACCTGTTGTTTTTGCCGCCACCGGGACGGCGGATGGGGACTTATTACCTCATCGCCCGCCGGGCGTCGGATGAGTCAGTGGCTGTGGAGTGGGGGGAGGGGGAGTTGGGGCCCTGACCCGGACCGGGCCCGTTCCAGCCGCCAGGTGGGAGACTTACGCCGAGGCGGTCCCCACGACCGCCCTGGGTCACCCGCGCTGGGTCATCTGGGGTGGTCATTGTGCCCGTCACACTGGACAGGGCACGCTGATTAACCGCCGCTTATTAATAAGGCGATGTTTTTGTTCCGATCCAGAGGGCGTATTTATAGCCAGGTCACGTGACCGACTGGAGGCGGCAGTGCGCGCGCGCAAGCGAGAGGGCCGTGGCCTGGCCGGGCAGCGCGGCGCCGACTGGCTGCATTTGTCCAGAGAAGGCGGCAGCCGGCGGAGCTCCCGGTTCGAACCACTCGAGTCCCCCTCCCCCTGCCGGCTGCTAACCGCTAACATCCGCTGTTCCCCGCCCTGCCCCGCCCCGACCACTCATGCCGTGGCCACTGGCCGACCTCCTTCAGCCGCAGGCGGCAAGGCCTCGCACTAACCACATGTAAGCACAACAGTTTTGCGCTGTCGCCGCCGCCGTTTTTTTTTTCTTACCGCCCGGGACCTTGTGAGCGCCGCCGCTGTCTGACGGCCGCTCCTCTGTTGCAGATCCAGGCCAGCTCTCTGCAGCGGACGGTCGTGGAGGAGACACACGACGCGCCGTACGCCAAGCCGGTCAAGTCGAAGCAGCTCGACTCGATGCTCGGCAACCTGCAGGAGGACATGAACAAGCAGGGCATCACCACCACGCAGAAGGGCATGTGCGGCGCCTGCGACAAGCCGATCGTGGGCCAGGTACTGAGCCGCCGCCGGCCGCGGGGTCATCTGACGGCGACGATCTGCGGCGCACGGCGACCGTGACACGGCGCCGGCGGCGGGGACCGACCTGACGCCGCTCTGTGTCGGCAGGTGATCACGGCGCTCGGCAAGACGTGGCACAAAGAGCACTTCACCTGCGCGCACTGCAACTCGGAGCTGGGCAACAAGAACTTCTTCGAGCGCGACGGGCGGCCGTACTGCGAGCCCGACTACCACAGCCTGTTCTCGCCGCGCTGCGCCTACTGCAACGGCCCGATCCTGGACGTGAGTGACGTCCGCCGCCGGAGGGTCACCGGCGCGGAGTGGCGGCACCGGCTCCGGCTCCGGCACCGGCCTGCCGGCGCAGCTCAAGCGGCACGCCCGGACCGGCGCGCTGTCGCTGTATGACCGTGTTTAGCCGGCCGCAGATGCTCTCGTCCGCTCGAGATGTCGCCGAACCTGGCACTGACCTCGTCACACTCCGCCCTCGCTTGACCCGATGACTGGAGTTGCCCGATTTGACTGACCTCGACTGACCGGCGCCGGCTCTGGCCGACCCCGGCCGACCGGCGCCGCCCCGCCGCTGACCGCCGCTGTCCATTCCAGAAATGCGTAACGGCGCTGGAGCAGACTTGGCACCCGGAGCACTTCTTTTGCACGCACTGCGGCCAGCCGTTCGGCGCCGACGGCTTCCACGAGAAGGAGGGCAAGCCGTATTGCCGCACCGACTACCTGGAGATGTTCGCGCCGAAGTGCGGCGGATGCACTCGCGCCATCATGGAGAACTACATCTCGGCGCTCAACGCCCAGTGGCACCCCGAGTGCTTCGTCTGCAAGGTGAGAGGGGAGAGAGAGGGAGAGAGTCGGCTGCCAAGACCGGTTAACCCGTGGTGTCCTCAGCCTTTCCAGGTGCGCTGACGGCCGCGTCTCTGTTGAAGGACTGCAAAGCGCCGATGAAGGGCAAGAGCTTCTATAAGGTGGACAACCTGCCTATGTGCCCCGACTGCGCCGGCGTCAACGACGACAGCGACGAGGACGATGATGAAGACGATGATGAATAAACTAAAGGGGTGGGCGACGGGGAGGCCTAATCGGAGGAGAGCCATAACTGACACGCGCTGCTATCGCCGGTGCTCAAACCAACCGACCGCTCTGTGGCTTACACTGTACATGTAGACCGTTTAATAAAAGGAACGACAAAAAAAACAACAACAAAAACCGATGAGAGCCGCTGTGGGCGGCGGCTGCGGCGGTGGGCCGCCGCCACCGCCGTCCGCCGCCACAGGCGGGGCTCGGCGCCGTCCGTTTTCGTTGTCGGTTTGCCAGCGTTTTCGTCAGACGTTCCGTTTGGGGGGTGACAGTGCCAGAAAATAGGGGTCGACGCTGCATCAACAGAGCGTGTTTGGCCGATTGTCAGAGCTGATGGTGATCAGAGCGGCCGGCCGGCCGGCTAGGCGGCCGGGCACCGACTGACTCTGCCGGCGGACCCACCGCGGCTAGGCCTGGGCTCCAGTGACGTCATTCGACCGTCGCGGCGCGCGCTAGAGGGTGGAGGGGTGGGGGAGCTGGCGCTGGCGGTGTTTGGGAGGTCTGGCAGCTCGTACGGCCAGGGGGAGGGCAATGTGTTGCCCAGATTACTGCCACCTGGATGTATGGACCTGAAAGCCGCGCAGGTGGGACGCTCGGCGGAAAATGTAACCGTGACGTCACTGAGGGGGAGAGGCTCTCGACCGGTCAGGGCTCCGCACAGGCTGACGTCACGGGCCGATGGTGGGCCGAATGTGACATCACAGGCCGATGATGGGCCGAGGGTGACGTCACGGGCCGATGGTGGGGTGAAGGTGACATCATGGGTCGATGGTGGACCGAGGAGGACGTCACGGGCTGGTGATGGGTCGGGGGTGACGTCACGGGTCGATGATGGGCCGAAGGTGACATCACGGGCTGATGGTGGGCCGGCCCGTCCAGCCGTTCTGTTTTGGTGTTATACCTATGCGGTGTGTATGCCGGGAAGTGTGTTGGCTCTCGTTTGTGTGTCGATTTGCCCGTCTTAACCCGTCTTTTCGCTTAAATTTGATCGTTCTTTTAGCCCCTGGATATTCATCGTCGTTTTCTGTGCAAAAACCACCCCCACCCTTAACAAACGGACTGGCTGCCATCGGCACTTTCTTTCTGGATTTATTGACTTCAGCGTCATCTCTCGGTGGGCTGTCCTCACCCTTCTGCGCCTGGACGGGGTGACGCTGTCAGCACCCTCTGGCGCCCTCTGACAGAGCCGACGGCTGCGAGACGCCACGCCACTGATATTTACGACGCCGTGGCCGGCTGACGCTAATAACGCGATGTCCCCTGTTTTCATTGGCCCGCGCGCCGCCTGTCGTGTTAGGATTGGCAGACAAAAGTGATGTGTATTTTGGGCACAATAGTGGCTGATTGTGCGGTCTCCGTGCTGCCGCCGATGACCAATCGGTCACCGAGTGTTGCGTTGTCTTACTGCCATCCTATCACCTCACCTCTAGCTGACGAGACATGCCAGCCGGCAGCCGAGCCACCTTCCCACCCGCTGCTCGCATCACGGCCGTACCTGTGTGCGCTCATTGGCGCGGACCCTGTCTGATATGCGGCCGTTGGTGTGCCGGCCGCCGCCTGCCTGTGACCGGGCGCGGGCCGGCGCCGCGCGGTTCGGGCAGCTCTGTCGGCCCGACCCCGGCTCCGGCTGAGCAAACAGCACGCGGGCGGCGGCGGCGCGCGCGTCCGCTCCGCTGGCCGTCCGCCAGCGGCCGATCGGGTCCGCTTCGGCCTGGACGGGTTCGATCCGCGCTCAAGGCCGGCTGACGCGCCGAGAAAACACGGCCCTGGGCGGCCCTGAAGCGCGGAGGAAACACGGCGGCGGCAGCCCTAAAACGCTGAGAAAACACGGCGGCTGCGGCCCTAAAACGCTGAGAAAATACGGCGGCTGCGGCCCTAAAACGATGAGAGAACACGACGGCTGCGGCCCTAAAACGCTGAGAAAACACGACGGCTGTGGCCCTGAAACGCTGAGAAAATATAGCGGACATTATGTCTGGTGTCTGGGCGTGCTGAGCTGGCTGCTGAAGCCCCCGTATTACTGGGAGTTGTTCGGCCTTCGGCGTTGTCAGCGGCGCCAAAGTCCCCGGGTCTGCGTGCGGCGGCGCCGGTGGCGTTCGACGTGTGCGGCCGCCAGAAGGGTGCCGTCTGTCCGCTGACGCGTCTCCCGTGCCCGCAGGCGGCCGCCAGAAGGGTGCAGTCTGTCCGCTGACGCGTCTCCCGTGCCCGCAGGCGGCCGCCAGAAGGGTGGAAGGTCTGTCCGCTGACGCGTCTCCCGTGCCCGCAGGCGGCCGCCAGAAGGGTGCAGTCTGTCCGCTGACGCGTCTCCCGTGCCCGCAGGCGGCCGCCAGAAGGGTGGAAGGTCTGTCCGCTGACGCGTCTCCCGTGCCCGCAGGCGGCCGCCAGAAGGGTGCAGTCTGTCCGCTGACGCGTCTCCCGGGCCCGCAGGCGGCCGCCAGAAGGGTGGAAGGTCTGTCCGCTGACGCGTCTCCCGTGCCCGCAGGCGGCCGCCAGAAGGGTGGAAGGTCTGTCCGCTGACGCGTCTCCCGTGCCCGCAGGCGGCCGCCAGAAGGGTGCAGTCTGTCCGCTGACGCGTCTCCCGGGCCCGCAGGCGGCCGCCAGAAGGGTGCAGTCTGTCCGCTGACGCGTCTCCCGTGCCCGCAGGACTGCCAGCGGTCGTTCCAGGGCGGCTCGTTCTTCGACTACGAGGGCCAGCCGTACTGTGAAACGCACTACCACGCCAAGCGCGGCTCACTCTGCGCCGGCTGCAACAAGCCAATCACAGGCGAGTACGCGCCGGCCGTGGGCGGCTGCGCCAATCAGAGGCCGCTGAGCAAGTCTGACCACGCTCAGGCGCAGCGTCCGTCTGGAATGTTGCAGACTACAGGTGGAGCAGGGATCGAACTGAGCAGAGCGTTGTGTGGACGCACCCTCGGAACTGTGCTTAACCCCACCATCTGAGCCGCCTGAGAATGGTGTTCTAGCTGGCTATAAGGTCGTCTTCACCCTCGTTCTGATAGCAGAACCAATCTCGCGGACCACTGTGGCCGTCACCCACGGTCACAGCTTTGCTGTCATTGGGACACTTATATTCAAGTACATGGAAGTGCTCCTGTCGCGTGCCTCACGATGTAGCCGTGTTCACCTGCTGACCTACCACCAGTCGTTGGTGGGCGCGTGGTTTGCGTGTCTGGCGTCTGACGGGCCGCGCCCTGCCTCAGGCCGCTGCATCACCGCCATGTTCCGCAAGTTCCACCCGGAACACTTCGTCTGCTCGTTCTGCCTGAAGCAGCTGAACAAGGGCACATTCAAGGAGCAGGCCGACAAGCCCTACTGCCACCAGTGCTTCGACAAGTTGTTCGGCTGAGGCCGCCGGACGCCGTGGAGTGGACGCCGGGGCACGCCGACGCCGGCGGCCGCCAGCGAGCCTCGGTGGCGCCGGTCCTCGCACGCCGGTCGCCGTGGAGTGCGGCGCCGGGGCACGCCGACGCCGGCGGCCGCCAGCGAGCCTCGGTGGCGCCGGTCCTCGCACGCCGGTCGCCGTGGAGTGCGGCGCCGGGGCACGCCGACGCCGGCGGCCGCCAGCGAGCCTCGGTGGCGCCGGTCCTCGCACGCCGGTCGCCGTGTCTGTACATTTCCTTGCCGGCCGCGGCGGCCAGATTGCGCCAACGAGTCGAACGCGTATTTATATCGGAATATCGTATCTGTATGACGTGGTGAGGCCGGTGGGCGCGTCCGCCCCGTGGCCGCGTGCTGGAAGCTGCTGTAGGCGGCAGTCAAGACGACGCTCGCCTTTGTGCGTGACAGAGTTGTTTTAGAAAGGTGTGTATGTGTGTGTGTGCGTGCTTGTGCACGCGCCGGCGGCGGCACCCTCGCCCTCTCGGGCGTCGGGACTCGTGAGTCGGTCCCTGCGCCGCCGCCCCGCCCGCCGGGTTGGGCCCGGTCGCCACGCCCATGCCTCGCCGCTGCTAACGCTTACCTAGTGCAACACAGAATCGGGCTTTTTATGGCGTGCGCGTGACTCGTGTTTTGCAGCGCTGTGTTGTTGGGTGCTTCGAAGCTTAAAAAGACGCGCCGTGCGGGGTGAGTGTGTTCGTCGCGAGCCGCCGCTGGACCGCGGCCGCCGCCGAGCCGCCGCTGGACCGTGGGCCGCGACCATGTCGCCGCTGGACCGTGGGCTGCCACCGAGCCGCCACTGGACCGTGGGCTGCCACCGGGCCACCGCTGGACCGTGGGCTGCCACCGAGCCGCCACTGGACCGTGGGCTGCCACCGGGCCACCGCTGGACCGTGGGCTGCCACCGGGCCATCGCTGGACCGTGGGCTGCCACCGGGCCACCGCTGGACCGTGGGCTGCCACCGAGCCGCCACTGGACCGTGGGCTGCCACCGGGCCACCGCTGGACCGTGGGCTGCCACCGAGCCGCCACTGGACCGTGGGCTGCCACCGGGCCACCGCTGGACCGTGGGCTGCCACCGGGCCACCGCTGGACCGTGGGCTGCCACCGAGCCGCCACTGGACCGTGGGCTGCCACCGGGCCACCGCTGGACCGTGGGCTGCCACCGGGCCACCGCTGGACCGTGGGCTGCCACCGGGCCACCGCTGGACCGTGGGCTGCCACCGGGCCACCGCTGGACCGTGGGCTGCCCACCGGGCCACCGCTGGACCGTGGGCTTGCACCCGGGCCCCCGCTGGACCGTTGGGCTGCGCACCGGGCCACCGCTGACCGTGGGCTGCCACCGGGCCACCGCTGGACCGGGGCTGCCACCGGGCCACCGCTGGACCGTGGGCTGCCACCGGGCCACCGCTGGACCGTGGGCTGCCACCGGGCCACCGCTGGACCGTGGGCTGCCACCGTGCCACCGCTGGACCGTGGGCTGCCACCGGGCCACCGCTGGACCGTGGGCTGCCACCGGGCCACCGCTGGACCGTGGGCTGCCACCGGGCCACCGCTGGACCGTGGGCTGCCACCGGGCCACCGCTGGACCGTGGGCTGCCACCGGGCCACCGCTGGACCGTGGGCCGCCATCGTGCCGCCGCGTGGGTCGGCGGCGGCCCTGCCTGTTGGCTGCGGCGTGCCACTGCTGTTGACCGGACCAACAACCGGACACGTGCGTGGGAGAGGGGAGGGGGGGGGGGACGCTGCTTGTGAAACTGGACGTGACAGCATCACCTGTTTCATAACTCACAATACATTATCGGTCTCAGTGAGGCGAGCAGATAGGCGTTTGCGATCATGTTCGCGGCTTCGGCGGCCGGTAGTCGGCCCTGGCGCGCGGGCGTCGACTAGCAGTGTGTTCGCATTTTAACACAAGGGATGCTCTCGGAGCTACAGACGCACAAGTAGCCACCCATGCAGCGGTAACCAAAAGTCGGTCACTCAGCTCTCCCCGCGATCTCTGATGCATCCAACGGAGAGCAGGTCAGAGGCCACTCTCAAACTGCGCCTGTCGGAAACACCCGCTGAGTCGCTAGCCTCTGTTTAACCTGAAGCGTCTGCCATTGTTTAAGCCCCTCGTCATGATGACCAGCGGGTTCGGCACCGTTGTATCCACAAATGTCACCCTTGAGTGTCTATCTGACGCCAGAAGCGGTCGGCCCTCGTGGAGGACGAGGCGGCCAGGTCTCTGGCTCCCACTGGGGGAGTATCGCGCGTGGGTGCACCTCACAGGACGTGGCTCAGCGCTGCGGAAGCCGGGGCCAACACCCAGCTGTCAGCTATCCACAAAGCAAAGGAGGGGGTCGATATACCAGCTCGTCCGATGAAGCCGCATGGGTGCAGGATCAAAGCGTGTATCGGCTACTACGGTGACCCCTACTGAATGAGCCTCAATAAAATTTGCTGAATTAATATATCGTATAATAAATAATAATAAGTATTGTCTAGTTACATTGATGCCATGGATGACTCAGAAGCTCACGCATTATGTATAGCTAAGTTTTAAACACAGCATAATAAATTATTGCTGCTATGGTATCCAGCAATATTGATCTGCACAACGAGCCGCCAAACGTCAATGGGCAACAGTATGCGAGGCCCTCCACTGCACTCCGTGGGGCCCAGCTAAGTCACGACAGATCGCTGCCGACGGGCGGCGGCGGACCTCACGGACCAGCGCGCGCGAAGTCGCCCTCAATTTCACCCAGGTATTTGCGGGCCGCGTTAGAGCGCTCGCCCCACCCCATCTTCAGCGGTAGCGTCCCACGCTGGCGGGGCGGGTGAGAGCGCTCGCAACACCCCATCCTCAGCGGTAGCGTCCCACGCTGGCGGGGCGGGTAAGAGCGCTGGCCACACCCCATCCTCAGCGGGAGCGTCCCACACTGGCGGGGCGGGTAAGAGCGCTCGCAACACCCCATCCTCAGCGAGGGCGTCCCACACTGGCGGGGCGGGTAAGAGCACACGCCTTTCCGCGATTTCAGTCAACTGCTGCCAGCCCGGTTGAGGGAAAATTGGCAGGAGGCTTGGGACGAAGTAAGAATGGACTCTGTTATGCGAGAAATGAGATATAATGAGCAATGACCCTGGCAATGCGAGAAAAAACTGCGTGCCATAAAGGAGAAGACTAGCGAATGGGCGACTTCCCACCGGGGCAGCAGAAGAAAAGAGGTCATTCTTTGTCGTCTCCGTATTGGGCACACTTATGGAACACACAGTTTTCTTTTATCAGGCCAAGCATCCACGTGTGCGCGTTGTGACCACCCGCTGTCAGCTGTTCACGCGCCCGTTCAGTGTAGCCAGTGTGCCGCTGAGCGTCAGCGCCGCCTTGGCTGCAGCACACGGCGCCGGTTGACCCTACGTTCCCTCATTGGTGAGAACCCTATTTTTAACGTCAAGATCTTTGAAGGGTTACGTAAGTCATTAGTGCATTCGCGAGGAACATTATGCACATAAATAGCTTTGTTCCTCGGAGAAAGACCAGGGGAATGGGGATATAGATGAGTTGATACTTCAGCAGCATGTCTTTATTGAAACAAGTAGCAAAAGTACGTTTCAATCTTCTGCTATCCGTTTTGATGAAGGCATGTTGATGAAATATCAATGAATCTACATCTCCATTATCCTGCTTTTCCCCGAGGAATAAGGCTATTACTACTCCCTTACCTTTTTTGAAAGGCTTACGAACGATATCGGAGTTATTCATATCCTCACCTGTTTGATAGTCCTTGACTGCGTAATTTGCATTATGTGGCACCTACCTCCAAAACGGCGCGCCGAACGCGTAAGCCACATATGGGTTGTACATATGATTATCAGTTAGATAGTTTCGGGCACAAAATGTCCGCTGCGGCTGAAGCGCTCTGTTCTTGACTGTACTGAATTTTTGGGAAACCCGCCAACGATTTTGACACTCTGTGTACATGCGCCTGTCGATTGCCACCACGGATGTTGTCTTTTATCCTTGGTTCATTCTATCCTGACCTGACACTTTTTATCCTGACTTTCTGATACCATCCCTCTGTCACCTTTTGCACCTGATGATACTAATCCTGACAAGCCATACTACATGGGTGGGTTAAAGGTTCAGTACAATACAAGCGCCCCTACACCCAAATATCACCATCGCTGGCGGGGCCGGTGTGAGCACTCGCCGCACCCCACGCGCAGTGGGAGCGCTCCACGCCCACGCCATCCCCGCGCCCAGGATGTCGGGACCGCCGACGACTCGAACGAACGCCTGTCGAAGCAGCCGACGCGCGCGCCCCTAGCGGCGGGGCGGCCCGGTACCTTCCACACCACGCCCACTCCCTAGGGCTTCCGGATGCGGCCCGGCGTGCCGCCGCCAGCAGTCCGCTTTTCTGTGCACTTTTGTCTTCGTTTCTAACTTGTGTTACACTCTTCAGTCTTCGCGGATGATGGCGTGTCCCGTCCAGAGCCCTCGCCATCGTACACGGAGACGTGCTTCGTCCAGAGCCCTCGCCATTGTACACGAAAATGTGCCCAGTCCGGAGCCCTCGCCACCGCACACGGAGACGTACTTCGTCCAGAGTCCTCGCAATCGTACAAGAATACGTGCTTCGCCCAGACCCCTCGCCATTGTACACGGAGATGTGCCCCGTCCTGAGCCCTCGCCATCGTACACGGAGACGTGCTTCGTCCAGAGCCCTCGCCATTGTACACGAAGATGTGCCCAGTCCGGAGCCCTCGCCACCGCACACGGAGACGTACTTCGTCCAGAGTCCTCGCAATCGTACAAGAATACGTGCTTCGTCCAGACCCCTCGCCATTGTACACGGAGATGTGCCCCGTCCAGAGCCCTCGTTATTGTACACGGAGATGTGCCCCGTGCAGAGCTCTCATTATTGTACACGGAGATGTGCCCCGTCCAGAGCCCTCGTTATTGTACACGGAGATGTGCCCCGTCCAGAGCCCTCGTTATTGTACACGGGGACGTGCCCCGTCCAGAGCTCTCGTTATTGTACACGGAGATGTGCCCCGTCCAGAGCCCTCGTTATTGTACACGGAGATGTGCCCCGTCCAGAGCTCTCGTTATTGTGCACAGTGATGTGCCCCGTCCAGAGCTCTCGTTATTGTACACAGTAATGTGCCCCGTCCAGAGCCCTCGTTATTGTACACGGAGATGTGCCCCGTCCAGAGCTCTCGTTATTGTACACGGAGATGTGCCCCGTCCAGAGCCCTCGTTATTGTACACGGAGATGTGCCCCGTCCAAAGCCCTCGTTATTGTACACGGAGATGTGCCCCGTCCAGAGCCCTCGTTATTGTACACAGTGATGTGCCCCGTCCAGAGCCCTCGCCATCGTACGCGAAGACGGCTCCGTCCCAAGCCCTCGCCATCGTGCGTCGGGACATACTCCGTCCAGAGCCCAGGCCAATGCGCCTCTCGGTCCCCTGCTGAACGCAGACAGCCCAAATAACACGACCAGCATTTAAAAAACATGTACTGATTACAAAAACAGCTTCGACCACAGATCTGACTTCCCGTATGCAGCATTCACGCGTCCATCAACACAGGCCAGTCGTGAACATTTCATGCATGTCCATGGCACACTATAAAATACAATCTCGTCGCGCGGCTTCCGTACAGCGGAGCACTGGGCCACCGGCCGCCTGCCCGCAACAGGCTTCCCGTGATGGCCGGCGCGCCGCGGCAGCCCATATTGCAACACATGCAAGTGAAGGGAACAATAAATCTACGGAGAAAGACTAGGTTTGTTCGCTGGCGGCTGCGGCCGGCCGTTCGACACCAAATGAAGGGACACGGACCCGGCAGACGGACAGCGGACAACACGGATGGATGAGCGGTACGTGCGGATGAGTGGTGGTGACGCCGGTGGTGCCGGCGCCCTCCAACACGGCGCCGCGCACCTCCAGTCCCTCGCAGACCTGTGGCGACACGTCGCCCCCATGTGTGGCGTCACACGTGCGGCGCACGGGGGAGACTAGACAGTCCTGGCGGCCGGGTGGCGGGCCGACGGCAGCGCCGCCGCTGGAGGACTTGTGGTTCTGATTCATGCCGACAGATGGCTGCAGCGTCACACGTCCAGCTGCTTGGGCGGGGTGTACGTCATGAACGGCTCGCTCCACATTCGCCGCAGGTCACCCTGAAGGCGGAAACGCGATGATCACTATCTTCCGTGAGCATCAGCTACTCTTCGACCATAGCTGGAGGCAGCCCCGTTCGGTATATCATTCTGCCAGATGTCGCTCAACGTGTCTAACAGCACAGCCCAGACTGTCATGATGTCGTCAGGCCTTTACGTCCGTCAGCATGCAGGTAATCACTAACTTGAAGAGCGGAGGCAGCTGCATGACCACAAGAGTGGAGCAAACAAATCCTCGATATAACTCACGCTATGGTCCACTCGGCAGGGGACAGACCCCTGATCTTCCTTGGCCGAGACCCCGTGGTCGGTAGACGTTTTAGCTACCGTGCGCGACTATCGCATAATGGCACTGCCAGCCAACATCACACAACTAACACCGCAGCGTTTCATACGCGCGGTGAAAGCACCTGTTGAACGCTCATGCTATTAGCGACCGGTGAAAAGTGGGTGAGCGTTACATGCTTTGCACCTGCATGTTCTCATCCCGTACTTTTTCTGTAATAGCCACGCTACATTGTGGATGGCCCTACGGAGGTAATGCATAGGAACATAAATACAAACGTAAAGCAGAATTCAAATGAGAGGCACAACTGCTGGTCAGGACGCAGTGGAGACGACGGTGTCGTATCTGAGGTACTGAGAGCGGCGGCAGCGGGGTGGAGGTGACGAAGAGAAGGGTGGAGCGGCCGGCGTCACACCTTGAGATAGGCCATGGTGAGCAGCGGCAGCAGCGTGAACGGCACCAGGTAGAGCAGCGCCGGCTGGGCGGCCCGGAACACCTCTGACGACACGGTGGCCGTCACCAGGCCCAGGAAGTAGCCGATCAGCGAACAGTGAAAGTACCTGCCGAACAGGCGGGCCCACATCACACGTCAGACGGGCGTGGTGCGCGCGCGGCCGCCCACCGTGACAGCGCTCCTCGCCGCACGCTCGCTGGACGCCGGCGAGAGGTGGACTGGTCGCGTACACAGCTCCGTCGCAGCCCACAGGAACCATTATGTACTGTTGCGCTGTTCCACCCAGACGCAGCAAGCCGCAGCTGATGACGGGCTGCCATGCAACAGCCGCGGCCCACGCTAACAGCCGGTGCAACAACACCGGATTCAGACCGTCACTGTCATGAGCAGGGTGCTGACGAGGAGACGCGCCCGGTGCTTGCCAGTCCACCTGACGGCGGCGTGGCGTCACTCACGTGATCTTCTGCAGGTGACCGTTGGCCGGGATGCCCGTGTCCGCAGAGAGCAGCACCTGCGCCTTCTTGTAGGCGTCGTAACGCATTACGAAACAGAGCAGCAGGCCGGGCATTACCTGCCGGACAGGGGCGTGTCTCACCACGCGCAGGGTAGCATGCGGCGCTCCACCTTACTACAGATCATGCCGCAATAGGGACACTGTCCGCGGTCTCACCACGCGCAGGGCAGCACACGGCGCTCCACCTTACTACAGGTTATGCCGTAACAGGGACACTGCCCGCGGTCTCACCACGCGCAGGGCAGCACACGGCGCTCCACCTTACTACAGGTTATGCCGCAATAGGGACACTGCCCGCGATCTCACCACGCGCAGGGCAGCACACGGCGCTCCACCTTACTACAGGTCATGCCGCAATAGGGACACTGCCCGCGATCTCACCACGCGCAGGGCAGCACACGGCGCTCCACCTTACTACAGGTTATGCCGCAATAGGGACACTGCCCGCGATCTCACCACGCGCAGGGCAGCACACGGCGCTCCACCTTACTACAGGTTATGCCGTAACAGGGACACTGCCCGCGAATGCCGCATCACCAGGTAACCGCGCGCCCCAGCCCTCCAGTGCCCAGCGCGCTGTTCATCACGGACGAGGGTCGTGACGGGCTTGCACCGCCTTAACGCGAAAGGCGTCCGTTCGAAGCGGCTACAGTGCCGCTCCCGACGTCCAGTTCACTCACGATGTCTCCGAGGCCCAGCATGGAGAAGTGACCGGTGCTCCGCATGCTCGGGAACACCAGCTTCCCCGGCAGCGACAGCTTCGGCGCCTCACGCATCATGCTGTTCAGGTGCAGCTTCTTGGCCATGATGCCGACCGGATTGTCGGCCGACCGGGTGGCCACCTGTCGGCAGAGCGCCAAGTTCACTTGTCGTAAGCACCGCCAGATGACACGGGTACGCCGCCGGTGCAGACCGGTGCTGGAGGCGAGTGCAGCGCACCAGATCGATCGAGTCCCACGCGCCGCCACACGCGTGCTTCGCAGCCGTCAGGAGCGTCCATCAACTATTCAGCCAGTGACCGGAGCTGATCGGTGGAACGCACCGGACCTGGCGCGATTGATAACGCACTGCCGACAACCCATCGCCTACAACACAAGATGTCGCGACCCGGGCCTCGTTGGCTTCAGACGCAATTTGAACACCAACTAACAGCCCCGATCATGAGCTTTAGCACAATATCCCGCAGTCCGTTATCGTCTAGGCCAAACTCTAACTAGCGTGCATCACTGCCGACGTTGAGGACCTCATACGTCGCACGCGCCGCCACACCATCCACAAGTTACCAGTCGACCGATCAAGCATACCGACCTTGACCATGACATTAGCGCTGAAGATGTACGGCGAGAAGAAGACCCAGAAGACATCGTAGATGAGCAGGCCCATCAGCAGCAGTGTGGACACCTTGAGCGACGGCAGCCGCACGAAGGCGATGAAGGCCACACACAGGCCCATACCCATGGCTGCAACGGACGCCGCTGGGTCACGGCCGAGCCAGGAAGCCGACGTGACGCTTCAGACGCCATAGTACGTACGCCCGTCATAGGCCTGCCAGCCGCACAAGAACAACAGAGACCCAGCTCCTGGAAGCCATGTTCGCTGTCCCAAACTGGATTTCAGCCGGCCAACGACTCAAGAACACGACCGACGGCTAGACTGGCGCGGACCGGCTGTTGCGTGTTGCGCCTCAACTGACGCGGCTTCACCACCCGGCGTTCACTTGGGCAGGCGCCTCAAGCACAGGGCTACTTTCCGACAGCCTGAGGTAACGACTCGTGACCGAAGTGACGTGACGTGCCCCCCCCCCCTCAGCGACCGCGCGGCGTCTGCGGTGGGTGCCAGTCGGCCCGGCTCCGAGCGATCCCCGCTGAGGACGGTCACAGCAGCGCCCCAGCAGCCGGCTCCGGCTGACCGGCAGGTGGACACGGGCCGAGCGCGGCCGACGGTCGGTTCTCAGCCGTCGGCCGCGCTCCGGCAGTGATGGAGGTCTGAATACTGAGCAGGCCGGCAGCCCGTCCCAGGCCGACCGTGGCTCAACCCCGCCCACCAATACCTGCCGGGCTGGATAAGTCCCCAGACTGGTTTTCTGCATGCCACAGCAGCCAGAAATGGTTGGTGATCGTGACAGCTTCCTGCCCTGGCCGGCTTCCACAATACAGCCCAGGATATCAGGCGCATGATAAGCCCCAGCTCGTCTTGTGGCGTCAACCGCGGTGGAATATTCGTCGAAGTCTACGCCGCTGAGTTACTCTTTCCTACGAAGCCCCATTATTCTTACAGACAAAATACGAGCCCCGGGAAATCGTGCAGCACGCCCAGAGCTCCTCTCTCCCGCCTGAGCCCGACGCCACCCAGGAGGGCAGGTCACCAGCCCGGGCCAACCGGCATCGGTGAGGATCACTAGCCTCTCGGGCCAACGCCTAAGCGTCACCGACCAACAGAGGTCGCTGAGGACCCCTGCGTCACACGCCAACAGAGGCCGCTGAGGACCCCTGCGTCACACGCCAACAGAGGCCGCTGAGGACCCCTACGTCACAGCCGCGTCCGCTGTTCTGTTAGTCTATCGGATCCTCAGCGAGCCTGACCCGCCCGAGATTGCACAGGACCGCCCCCCGCCCCGCCCCGCCCCACACCACACCACATCGGGTGGACAGCTCCTCTCCATCCATGAGCAGCCAGCGGCCGTCCACTGCTCCGTTAGTCTATCGGATCCTCAGCGAGCCTGACCCGCCCGAGATTGCACAGGACCACCCCCCGCCCCGCCCCACACCACACCACATCGGGCGGACAGCTCCTCACCATCCATGAGCAGCCAGTGGCCGGTGAGGATCCACACGCAGACGATGGTGACCGAGATGCCCAGCGAGACGATCTCAGCGCTGGTGTAGCGTCCGCAGATGCCGAACGAGATCCTGCCAGCACGGAGGGTCGGTCAGCCGCTGGCCGGGACGAGGCCGCACAGCCAGCCCGGAGGCGGGGAGCTCAGACCTTAGCCAGTATTCGGTTCGGATTCTGTCGGTGGGAGGCCAGTTAGCGCCCGATGGCCGCAGTGGCGTCGGCGTCAGGGCCGCGTGCCAGACGGCCAGTCCGGCAGTCACGTCTGCTCGCCCGAGACCCATTCAGCCGGGACCCCTTTGTAAGGAGTATCAGAGCAAGTGGTACTCCTTACGGGCACGTACCCCGGCTGGGTGCACATCGCCACCACGTCGCCGGTCAACCAACAGATCGGAGCCCAGTGAAATTCAAGGCTCTCAATACCCAAAGACAAGCTTCAATGAAGCATTAAAATTGTCTTCTAAAGTCAAATATGGCTAATAAAGAGGGCTTAACGTAGTTGTTCGGCTGGCGCGGCCGAGTTCCTATTTCCGATATTTTCCCTGAGGAGCTGAATAGCATGTCATCCCGCACCAAGTTAGGGTCGTCTCACCACACTCTGTGACTGCGACTTCAACAGACACCGGCCCGGCCGACCCGGCAGTCTGTGCTCCGGGTCTCGGCCGTCACCACGTACCGCCCGGTCGTGCCCGCATGGCGCCCACGGTCCGTCCCGTCGTCCGTACGTACCGGAGGCGGCCGCCGGCGGCGGCGACGGCGCGTCAGCCGACCCACCGGCCTCCGGCGGTGCGTGTTAGTGTCAGGGGTCAGTCAGGTCGGCCTGAAACAGCGTCAGGCGGCGCGGCACCGCACGTCAGCCCGCCCACAGGGGCCCACGCGGCGGCGGGGCGCGCCCCCACATCCAGCTTCTCCCTCAGCAACTCTACCCATCTCAGACAGAGTGGCCGGCCTGAATGGAAGACCAAACGGACGCCGCCGACGCCGACGCATTGCTTCCAGGAGAGACGTTGTTAAGACAGTGGACGCAAAACGTCGAACCCAGACTTCACCTGCACCGCTTCGGAAAAGGCCTTTCAGCCACGCCTTGGCGGCGATGCTGTGCCACGCCTCTGGTGTACTAGATGTATCAGTTAGGTTACCGTAACATGCAATACGCGCTTATAAGAGTGACGGTGCGGCCTGGCTGGACAGCCTAATCCAAGCGCAGCTGCAGTTCACCAGCTGCAACAGCCGCCAAAAAATGTCATCCCCCGTAAATGTCAAACCAACCACAAAACGTTTACCTTGGCAGCAAAATAATGACTTGTTCCTAAAATTGTTTTCACTTTCGTGCAAATCACTAATATGCTAAGACCAGCATTCCCAAAGCTAGGAAGAAATCCACTGTCTAAAGTAAATTAGTAAGCCTTCACGCCGAAGGCCAATCAGTCGATCCGCAGGCCTCGGACACTGCGGCTCCGTGGTGACACTAAGCTCACCCCGCTGAATGGGTACGGAGTGCGATCGTCCGCTGCCTAGGCCGCACGGAACGACAAGCTCGCCTGTCGCCCTCGACAGAGGCGCCCGCTCGCGGGTCACGGGTCACGGGTCACTATCAGCTGGCGAGGCGAAGCCCCGGCTGCCGGGCGGGTTACCGAGCCCCGGCTGCCGGGCGGGTCACCGAGCCCCGGCTGCCGGGCAGGTTACCGAGCCCCGGCTGCCGGGCAGGTTACCGAGCCCCGGCTGCCGGGCGGGTTACCGAGCCGCGACTGCCGCCCGCCTACCCGAATCACCAGCGCGTTGCAACGGAAGACCTGGCAGAAATGGCCACCCGAGATTGCCTGCTGAATGCAGGCCTTCGGGGCCGTGACGCTGGCCGCCGGTGACGGTGACGGCCGTGACGCGAGCCGCCGCCAGCGACGGTGACGGCCGTGACGCTGGCCGCCGGTGACGGTGAAGGCCGTGACGCCAGCCGCCGCCAGTGACGGTGACAGCCGTGACGCTGGCCGCCGCCGGTGACGGTGACGGCCGTGACGCTGGTCACCGCCGGTGACGGTGACGGCCGTGACGCTGGCCGCCGCCGGTGACGGTGACGGCCGTGACGCAGTTGACGACCGCCAGGCGGCCGGACGTGCCGGGCTTCCAGCCGGCCGGCGGCCCCAGGCTCCCGTTGAGCTGGATTATCCCGGCGGCCACCGCCACACTGCAACCACTGTTGGCACCACTGCAGCCATAGCTCTGCTCGAGACCCGCTTCAGGAGCGCTCCTCGACTCCAGCTGTTGACCATGGTTGATGATTCCCTATCGAGAAGAAATCTGTTCCGTCCAGCGCGCTTGCACGCACGGCCAAGCTAAATCGACGAGCCGGCGCGCGCCGACTGCTGGCGACCGGTTCTGAGGGATTCTCGGCCGGCGCCGAGAGGCTGCAAAGAACAGTGACCGGCTCCACTCGTGGCCGCATCGCACCACACCGGGTCTCCGCGGAGTGCGGTCCTGACCGCGCCACATCACACCGGGTCTACGCGGAGACCGGTCCTGGCCGCGCCACATCACACCGGGTCTACGCGGAGACCGGTCCTGACAGCCAGCGCGGCCCTGTGCGGTCGCCGAGGCAGCGGGGCGCGCACGAGGCGCCGGACAGCGGCCACTGTCCGGCCGCTCGCAGCGCAGAAACAGGCCGGGCTGGCTCGACTGGTCCAGCCGGCCCGCCCGCCCTCCTCACGCTCTGTTCACTGCGGCGGCACAGTGCGACGGCGGCGGGAGAGGCGCGGCCCAGTGTGGCGGCACATGTGACGGCGCAATGTGAGGCGGCAGTGTGACGGCGGCGGGAAAGGCGCGGCGCACTGGTGGCCGTGCCGGCCTGCGGCGGCCCGCCGCGGCCCCAGTCCCTCACGGGGACCGACAGGGCGCGCGGCAAGAGTCTGTCAGCATCCAGACGAACTAACCCCTTGGCGTTCGCGTCGACGACTGCTTTGAAATGTGGCTACACGTGACTGTGTGGGTAGACACAAACCGGCCCAGGTGCACCACACCACTAATCTCGTGCCTGGATTCCACGAACTCACAGACTTCACCTGGGCAAGGGCGACGAAAACCGAACAGGTTTGCACCTAATGCCGCCAGTCCTACGCCCCAACCGGCTCGGTCCGGCGGCCTGCCGGTCCGGTCCCCACCAGTAGATCTGACACCTGCTCCCCACCGCCACAGCGGCATAAAAACCTTCACTACTCGGCAGCGACCGGGCAGTGGAAGCGGCGCCCGGTCCGAGGACAGGGGCGGCGGCAGGAGGCGGCTCCGCGGCCCCCACACTTCACGGCTCTGTGCCAGGCGTCACCGCCCAACACCGCCGCACTGCAGAGGCGGCGGCAGGAGGCGGCTCCGAGGCCCCCACACTTCACGGCCCTGTGCCAGGCGTCACCGCCCAACACCGCCGCACTGCAGAGGCGGCGGCAGGAGGCGACTCCGCGGCCCCCACACGTCACGGCTCTGCACCAGGCGTCACCGCCCAACACCGCCGCGCCGGAGAGGCGGCGGCAGGAGACGGCTCCCACACGTCACGGCTCTGCACCAGGTGTCACCGCCCAACACCGCCGCACTGCAGGGGCGGCGGCAGGAGGCGGCTCCCACACGTCACGGCTCTGCACCAGGCGTCACCGCCCCACACCGCCGCGCCGGAGAGGTGGCGCAAGAACCGACGCACAACGGAGAGTCTATCCACTCCAGGGCGGATATATCATAGCCTGGATGGAGCCAGGACACAGATCCATTTGGTCTCCTCCCACGCCCACCTGGGCATATGCTGGGCATCATGCTGGACATCATGGGCATATACTGCACAGTATATGCTGGGCTCATGCCATGTCATGCATCACGCTCTGCCCGCACGCAACGTACCGTAAGCTGGAAGCGGGTTCTTTAAATGTTGGCGATGCCTTGAACGAAAAGAGTTCGGAGTTTCCGAACCGACGGATGCAAGACCGGCGATAAACTGCACTGCGTAAAAGAAACGACGGCGAATCCCGAGCTCCCATATGCCGCCCGCCAAGTTCAGATGAGGAACTAAAAACAGAAAGGTCGCTGATATTCACGTCTGGGTATTTTCAAGCACAGGAATGGGCCGGCGTCTCTTAACAGAAACTGCGACAAAGCTCAAGCGCAGGCACGTCTGTGATCTTCAGAGTCTTTGCCGGCCGATTACCATACCGGCCAACCACGAAAACCGGTCGGGGGCCAGAGCCAATGGCGGAGCGACCACACCGATGTTTTGCCGACGCCTCGGCCGAAGGTGAGCCGGTTCTTGCACCGCGAACCCTCAGTAACCGACCGTCGGTGGCCGGCGTGAACCGAAAGGTTTCAAGGTCGACCCTCGTGAGATTACGACACCAGATGGTCACGGGGTCCCGCACCACTTGACGGCGTCCAGCCGGGCATCCCCGCCGGCCCGCTGACCAGCCACGGCCCGTATCTCGTCGGAAGGGCGGCGGTGGGGAAGGGCCCGCCACGTCCGGGAGAGCGTCGAGATCGTGTACAGAGCGGCGCCGCCGGCAGTGTCGTAACCGGCCGCCGTCTGGGAGAAACGCAACCGCCGACCGGCCGCGCGCACGGGCGTCAAGAGCCACCCGGCGCACCAATGCGAGGAGCTCGACAGATGTAGCTGGAGACCGAGGGAGGGGAGGGGGGGGGGGAGGGGAGGATGGGTTGCGAACGGGGCTCCAGAAGAGAGCGACGTATCTGTCAAGTCAGAAGCGGCTGGATACGGCCCCAGGCTGACCTGGTAACATCAGGTCAGGTCAGATCACGTTTGAGACTGATCGAGTCACACACGATGAGGTCAGGTCACACGATATCCAGTCAGATCGGGTCCAGTCTGGCCGGGTCATAACCACGTCTCCGTCCAGTACGACCGAGTGAGGTCAGTTCAAGCTGCAACAGGCCGTGGCACATCAGGTCACCCCAAGTCACGTGTAGTCGCACCAGGTTACAGAAGGTGACAGACTGTGCCACCCCGTCAGACCGGCTGGGGCAGCTCCGGCCAGGCTGCAGGCAGGCGGCAGCCGGCCCCGGCCGCCAGTCCGGTCCGGTCCGGTTCGGTCAGCGGATACTCACTTGGTGCCGTCGGAGCACGAGCCGATCATGTACTGGCACATGGGCAGCAGTAGAAAGGCCAGCGCCACGGTGGCGATCACTGAAACGACACGAAAATACAAGGCATCAGCACGACCGCGTGGATCAACTGTCATCATCACTGGAACGGCACAAAAATACAACGCATCAACAGGACCGTGTGGACTAACTGCAATCATCTGTCAGCCGAATGTATCATGAACAGCACGCAGTGCTGCCCAAAATATACTGCCAAATATGAACGGCACAGTACCAACCAGGCAGTCACAGTACCAACCAGGCAGTCACAGTACCAACCAGGCAGTCACAGTACCAACCAGGCAGTCACAGTACCAACCAGGCAGTCACAGTACCAACCAGGCAGTCACAGTACCAACCAGGCAGTCACAGTACCAACCAGGCAGTCTCAGCGTTCAGAAGCCCCTATCATCATACCAGCCACGCGCTAAGACATGCGCCGCGTCTGCCATCATGAGTAACGCGCCTGGTTTGTCAACTGGAGAGCGTAGCCAGCGCTGGCGCCGCCCGACCGGCGCATCCGGCCCGCCGGCCGCGGCTTGCCAACAGCCGAGCCTCCATACCACAAAGCCAATGACAGGAGAAGCTGCAACGCTCATAACATAGCTGCACGCGTCATATGGCACACTCATCTAGCAGGCATCGATACTGCAGCCAATCCGACAGCCCCACGATACAAGATGAGCCGGACCCAGCCGCGCCGAGTTCCCACCGCGGCGGCGCAGCCCGTCAGCTGCGCTGAGGGAGCCTTCGAGACCACCTGTGCTGTGGCCGGCCTCGAGACGTGGTCCGAGACGCCGGCGGCGGCGGCGGCGGCGGGGCGCCGGCAGCCGCTCGATCGATGCCACCCGGCGACGGTGTCGGTCGGAGCTGCCGGCCGGCGCGCCGGTCCCACCTGTCACCGGCCCCCACCCTTGCCATCGCTCGAAGCATTGCACGGCTTCTCCTGAACAGGAAGACAATCTAGCCCGACCCTGCAGCCGCGGCCGCAGCGACGGCAGAGATCTGCCTCAGCAACAGCCTTCGCTTTGCTTCTCGGGCCATGTCTGCCTTGCCTGGTGTCAGACTTGGAGGCGGCTAACACCCACTTGCTTCGGACGCAGTTTGCACCCATGCCAGCCGTAGACACAAACCCCTAGTCGGAGACCCTGGGCCCGCCCGTGGCACCACCAGGGCGGCCACGCTGCCGCAGCCGCGTCGGCCCCGTCGGAGCGTCGCCATGGCGACTGCTCATTATTCCAGACTGGCGGTGGTGTACCCAGATTTGGCTCAACCAGTGTGGATCGCTTCTCATTCATTTGAGCCCCGCTGCCAGTCAGATATCGGTCGACACCTGAAAGTCGAGCCGCTCCGCGAGGCCTCCGCACTGCGCCGCCGCAGGGTTCGGGGACTTCTCCGCCGACATCACGCCAGATTGCTGTTTGAAGAGGGCCCCCAGGGCACGGCACGAGCTGCACAACTTCCCATAATGTCCTGGCGTCCGCTCACCGGGCAGCGGCGAGGGGGACCTCCTCGCCGCTCCAGCAGAGCCCCGGACCAGACGGCAGGAGGACTCTCGCCCCGTACCTGCACACGTCCGGGGCAGGCCCTCTCACCAGCGGCCGCCCCCTTCAGCTGGCAGCAGACGCCGGAAGACGGTTCCAACAGCCCCGGGCCAGCTGATGGTCGGCACCTTTCACTTCCTGATGCGGCCGCCGGTACACACCGCCCAGTGTCTGTTGCGACATCCGAGTCCCGGGTGGGGTCGGACGGGCCACCGCTGCAGGGGCGGCTGGCGGCACGCTCCGTCACCGGCCACTCGCTAGTCGAGCGCCTCACAGCCTATATCCCGAGGTAAACACGAGATCACCACCCGGACAGCTTCGGCGGTGCACAACTGGCATCCGTTCGTGGCTCGACGGGTGGCGTAGGAGCTAAGAGCCATCTGGTGGCTTTTTCAACTATTCGGGAACGCGTTCGGTAACCAGTAAGCTATCCAATATGCATGGGATCGGCGATCTGACAGTTCCCTACCGGCCAACGTGCATGCATGCTTCCCTACAGAATCCATAGCGACGGTGCACACCGCCAACAGATGCGCTCTTCCTGGCAGCGCGGGCCGTGTAGGCCGGGCCCGGCTCCTGAGGCGGCTCCTGCCGCGGAGGCCGGTATGGGCGCGCTCGCCGCGTCCTGTCCCCGTGTCTGGCGACTGGCAACGCGGCGACGCTGTCCGCCACACGTCACAGCGCAGAGCGGCCCGCTGCTCACGTGTGCTGATGGCGTATGGTGGTGGCCGTGCACCTGCTCGCTCGCGTGCATCGCTGGCGTTAAGCCACCTGTTATGATGGCGCCGGTAGAGTAGTGGTTAACGCGTCTGCAGTAACGACTGCGCATCTGGGAAACCGGAGGTACGGGGTTCGATTCCCCGCGGCGCCCGCCCTTCCTGCCAGAGTGAGGGCAGGCGACGCCATGTAGGCTCAGCAGCTGAGTGCGCCGTAAGGCCGTAGTGACACACAGCCATCTGTTCTCATGCTGCGCGATAGATACGGCCCGCACCTGACCAGCGTCCCGGGCAGCCTCCCCCGACCCACGCGCGTTGCCCAGTCCGCAAACGTCGCCAACACAGCGCTCTTTAACAGGTGATGGTGGACCGATTACAGCCTGCTAACACAGGAGAACAGACGCGGTCCAATGCCGCGGCGGCCAGCCTTGCCGGCACGCGACATCAGTGGACGCGGTATCCATGAGAGGTGCTCCGCAGGTGCTAGGGTACGGTGCGGCGGGAGGGAGGCGGCAGGCGCCGGCACGCGGTATCAGCAGACGCGGTGTTCATGAGAGGTTCTCCGCAGGTGCTAGGGTACGGTGCAGCGGGAGGGAGGCGGCAGGCGCCGGCACGCGGTATCAGCAGACGCGGTGTTCATGAGAGGTTCTCCGCAGGTGCTAGGGTAGGGTACGGTGCAGCGGGAGGGAGGCGGCAGGCGCCGGCACGCGCCATCAGTAGACGCGGTATCCATGAGAGGTGCTCCGCAGGTGCTAGGGTACGGTGCAGCGGGAGGGAGGCGGCAGGCGCCGGCACGCGGCATCAGTAGACGCGGTATCCATGAGAGGTGCTCCGCAGGTGCTAGGGTACGGTGCAGCGGGAGGGAGGCGGCAGGCGCCGGCACGCGGTATCAGCAGACGCGGTGTTCATGAGAGGTTCTCCGCAGGTGCTAGGGTACGGTGCAGCGGGAGGGAGGCGGCAGGCGCCGGCACGCGGTATCAGTAGACGCGGTATCCATGAGAGGTGCTCCGCAGGTGCTAGGGTACGGTGCAGTGGGAGGGAGGCGGCAGACGCCGGCACCGTGACCTAGATCGCCAGTCGACGCGCCGCCGCCGCCCGCAACAGCCTGTGCTTCCGCGTGCAAAACAACGAGTGAAAGCAATACGGATCCTTGCTTCACTCGCCAGCGCCGATGTAAACAAAGCGAGCTGATCTCCTTACACACGAGCTTTAACAATGTTTAAGGCGGCCTCCTCAGCATTAAAAGGCTTTGATGATATTTGGACAGATGCTACACGCCCCAATCAATATACGTGCGGACAAACAACCAACCAAGCAAACGATATCAAACAGCGGCGCCAGCCGAGCGTGCACCATCAAACAGCACTTGTTGTGCAAACAGCACCCCACTATACACACGCGTCCATGACATTAGCGGCTTCTCCTCAGAAGCCCGCCAAAATAAAAACGGAGTGGCCAGAAGACGTGGGCCGGCACAACAGCGGGGCGACTGCGACATCACGGTAAACAACTGCCTTGAGTTGTTTACCGGCGGAGCCCGTCTCTGAAACTGGCTCGCCCACTACACACCTGCCTTCCTCAGCCTGACATCAATAGGATGCGTCACTGAGACTGGCTTGCACACTACACACCTGCCTTCCTCAGCCTGACATCAGTAGGATGCGTCACTGAGACTAACTCACACACTATACACCTGCCTTCCTCAGCCTGACATCAGTAGGATGCGTCACTGAGACTAACTCACACACTATACACCTGCCTTCCTCAGCCTGACATCAGTAGGATGCGTCACTGAGACTAACTCACACACTATACACCTGCCTTCCTCAGCCTGACATCAGTAGGATGCGTCACTGAGACTAACTCACACACTATACACCTGCCTTCCTCAGCCTGACATCAGTAGGATGCGTCACTGAGACTAACTCACACACTATACACCTGCCTTCCTCAGCCTGACATCAGTAGGATGCGTCACTGAGACTAGCTTGCACACTACACACCTGCCTCGCTCAGCCTGACATCAGCAGGACACGTCACTGAGACTGGCTCACAAATTATACATCTGCCTCGCTCAGCCTGACATCAGCAGGGCAAGTGTATGGCGTCCAGAGCTGCCCGTCGACAGCTCTCGCCACCATACAAACATCTAGCCGGTATCTCTGACCGATAAGCAAGATCGCACTATCATGCCCGGCTTGCTTATCGGCCAGATAAGCAAGCCGGGCCGATACCACCATGGCCGGGCTGGGCAGCAGTGAAGGGAGAGGGCGGGGGCGCAATCAGCTGACGACTGCAGCGCCGCCGCCGCTGCCCCGGCGCACAACAGAGCGAGGCGCGGCCGTCCAGCTCTCCAGTCCAGTCACATCCCGGGCCTTGGCCAGCTGCCGTCTCACCACGCATTGGCAGGCTTCGGGCTACCACCAAAACACAGAGCTGAAGCGCCAGAGACAATTCAGCCCAAGTGGCATCATCGCCAGCCAAAAGTAAACCCCAGCCAAAGGAGCGTCTCATTCTGTGTCAAACCCAACCGAAGGAGCGACTCACTCTGTGTCAACCCCAGCCGAAGGAGCGACTCACTCTGTGTCGACGGAAAACACATCACCACTCTGCACTCAATCAGACATGTCGGACTAGAACAAAGAGCACGACACTGACGTGCACGGGATGCCCCGCCCACGTCAGCGCGCGCGTTCCATTCTCCTGCAAACTGCAGTGGTCAACGACTCGCCGTCGTATAGATGGGGGAGTTGACGGTCTGCGTGCTGCCCTGTCCGGACCACGCGCCCAACCCGGGTGCATTGTCCGTCACGGCTCCACCCGTTATCAGTCAAACATCTCCCGCAGCAGGTGTGTCGACAGCCAGCGGAAACGCAGGCCGAATAAAATACACCGCGGGTTCGCAATAGGGCCAACTATCCTGATAACATCAGACGTTTTCAAGAGCTGGCGGCTGAACACAGAGGTCATAATGGCATATTACCAGCCTGAACCACCGAGCAACGCCGTCCCTCTCTGGCGTCCGTCTGGCGGCAAACAATTCCGCGCCCTCGACAGCAGTACCACACACCGGAAAGCCTCTACCGATGAGACGCAGGCCTGCGACCCGGTGCACGTGTCGGCCACCGGCGGCACCCTTCCGACCGAGCGTCGGCGGTCGTGTGGGGCGGCCGGTGCGCGTGGGAGCCGGCCGGCGCGCGTGGCGTGTCGGCCTACCCCCGCTCCGGCCGACACGCCACAGGCGGGGCATCCGGCGCCGCTCGCCGACGTCCGGCCCGCAGGCCGCCGCCGGCCGAGCGCTTGTCAGCCGGCGCCGGCCGCGGCAGCGCCAGCCGCAGAGAACGTACCCGTCAGCCGCCTGTCAGAAGCCGCCGGCCGCGCCGGTCACGGGCCGCGCGTCACGGATCACGAGCCGCGCATCACGAGTCACGAGCCGCGCATCACAGATCACGAGCCGCGCATCACCGGTCACGAACCGCGCATTGCGGCCCACGAGCCGCGCATCACGGCTCAGGAGCCGCGGCCAGACGGGAAGCGTCGGTCGCTCAACGCCAGTCCATCACGGCGGGCACCGACCCCGCGTCACGGCCCAGTGCCCGGCGGCGGTGCTACCCGCCCTGCAGCGGCGCGAGCCTTCGCCGCCGCCGGCGCGTCAGGGAGCGGGTTGGCGCCCCACACTGCCAGGGCAGACGGCACGGGACGGCTGGGCCAGGTGCAGGCAGGGCCGCTCCCACGCCAGCACACGCCCACACAAAGGTGGCCGCTCGGTCGGCGGGAGCCCCGCGGCCGCCGGCGGCTCGGCTCCGACGCAGCCAGCGCGCTGTGCGGCTTCCCTGCCGGTATTACAGGCCCGGTCTCGACCGCCCTGTGGGGATATGCCGAAGCGGCTTGGAAGGCACCAGCTGTGCCCCGTTTGGCATGTACGATTGCGAGGTCGCACCCACTAGTTTCTGGACATGATTCTGTTCGGAGCCACATATGACCCGTTGATAGCAGCGAAGGTTGCAATATGGGGACTTGTGATTCAACTAATATCAAAAGCAGACGGCTTCTTCAGCACCAGCGTGGACGGGACGCCGCCAATAGCCTTGCCGTTGAGTGTTTCTACACAAACAGTGACTGTGAGATGGGCGCCGGCGCCGAGGTGACGGGGACATCACAGTCATCCGCCCACGCCCCGTCTTCCCCGCCCGCCCGCCGCCCCCCCCCCCCCCCCCCCCCAACCAGGCGCCGGAGCAGACATCTCACCTGCGGTGCAGATGGCGAACAGCAGCTGCATCGAGTCGAAGAAGAAAAACATGACAAGCAACGAGGCGGACGCGCCCAGAGGAAGACAGAGCGCGTGCATTGTGTCCAGCGTGTGCACATCTGAAACAGGCCCAGGTAGGCACAGCGTCAGTCACGTCAGACACGGGGCGAGCTAACCCCAGACCAACGCGCACGCCCACACGTCTGCACGCCGCCCGCCCGCCCGCCCGCCCGCCCGCCCGCCCGCCCGCACGCACGCACGCACGCACGCACGCACGCACGCACGCACGCACGCACGCACGCACGCACGCACGCACACGCACACGTCGTTAAAAGTGTGGCGCAAAGTGCGCGCGGGCATCTGAGACGAACACAAACAGCGGCGTCACGGGGTTACTTACGCCAAGTCACGCAGGTCACATGTTTAACAATCCTAGAGATGCTTTCGCGCCTTATGATGCTAAAAAGTCCTCCCAATGGGCAAGCATTCAACACAGGACGGACCGTGCGAAAACGGCAACTACCCTATACCACAACCCAACAAGTAACACTTCCACTGCTAAGGGTGCACTTGCCAGCAGCTGTGATGCGTGATACAAGTTATCGGTTATTACCGGTTAGCGCCTGCCAACGCAAAGAAAGCGCTACCGACCGATGCGTACCGTAGGGCTGGCGGAGCGGTGACGTCACCCCTTCATTGTGCTAGGGTCAGATAAACGCGACACTCGACCGCCGTTATATGACCTTCTCACAAGGCTGTTCAACGGACCGCTGTACTCAGTCGGCAAGTGACAGCGCCGATCAGAGCAGCAAGTCGCCACCCAAACCAGCAGGCACAGAAGGTGGCCAAGAGGTCATCCCCTCTCGACCCCGAATGCATGACGACTTCGGGCCGTGGCAATCCTGCAGCTCTAGCTCCAACAGAAAGTCCGCCAGACTGCACGGCGGACGGTCTGTACTCCGGCCTCCCTGACCGACGGCCTGCCTGTATCGGCGGCGGGATGTTGTGTGCGGGCTGTGACGGTCGATCCGGCTGAGGACGGGACGTGACATACGGCCGCCGGCGGACGATTGACGCGAGTGACCTGTTGCCTCCGCTTCCGTGCAGCTGTGACCTACACCGAACGGAGTGCCTGGCGGGCGGCGGGGAGGGAACAGGGGAGAGGGCGAGCGGGCCCCGGCTGCTCGCAGTTGCCCCGGGGTCAGCCAGCGCCGGCCTGGCGGGGAGGGAACAGGGGCGAGGGCGAGCGGGCCCCGGCTGCTCGCAGTTGCCCCGGGGCCAGCCAGCGCCGGCCTGGCGGGGAGGGAACAGGGGAGAGGGCGAGCGGGCCCCGGCTGCTCGCAGTTGCCCCGGGGCCAGCCAGCGCCGGCCTGGCGGGGAGGGAACAGGGGAGAGGGCGAGCGGGCCCCGGCTGCTCGCAGTTGCCCCGGGGCCAGCCAGCGCCGGCCTGGCGGGGAGGGAACAGGGGAGAGGGCGAGCGGGCCCCGGCTGCTCGCAGTTGCCCCGGGGCCAGCCAGCGCCGGCCTCGCCCAGTCGACGTCCATGCACGGTAGAGGTAAAGGACTGGCTGTCCAAGAGGTACTCCTACACTGGCTGACTGTCCTCACGCTCACGCCTCTCTCGTTCTCTCTCCGAGAACAGAACGCACTGGCGGTTCACAAGCACAAAAAGGGCTGCAGCGCCGCCTTCACGCACTGCTGTACCTGTTGCTGCACGCACGCCTGCACCATCAACGCCGGATGACTTACAATCGGGAGACCTATCTATATCGATGCCGAGCATCTTCATCGGCGCGGGATGTGATCGGAGAGTGGTCGGGAGCGCTGGGCAGCCCGATACGGAGCGCTCCGGACGGCCGTCCCCACATGGAGCCGGCGCGGCGGCCCGCCGCTTCAGCTGGCCTCTCCCACGCCCCGCGGGCCGTACCTGGCCGACAGACGGAGCCCGGCTGCGAGACAGCCGTGAAGAGCGCGCCGTTCGCGCGGACTGGGCACGCGGCGGAAGGAAGCATATCACGGCAGTATAGGCTCGATATCTGCGCTTACGTCAAATCCGTGACCGTGCTAGCTCGTGACCCATGAGCGCGACTGGGAAACGTCGAAGTTTTTACATAAACCCAACGTTTCCTATATCCCTGGTATATCAACCATAACCTGGCATATCAAAGGTCGATCTTTTTCGCATCACAACTCCCGAGCCCATCTCCAAGCTGGCCAGAGCCGGGCCCGGACGTGGCAGTCCAAAGTATGGCCTGGTTGGGCCGGACCGGCCGGCGCCCGCGTCGCCCGGGCGCCGGCCGGTCCGGGCTACACCCGGTCACTCGGCTGGCCGGGGCGGACGTCGGCGCCAGACGCCGCGCGCCGCCGCCCCTAATGAAGCCGACAGTCGGCCAGCCTATTCCGGGCTTTCCACCCGGAGCAGGATATGAGGCTTCGATCGGGCGTCGTTCTCGACGCCCCGACTATTTCTGGCCCGGACGCGACACAACATCCTGATGGCGCCGGCGGCCACTTGCGCACGGGCCGCTCAGACCGCTCGGAACACGCCGCGCCCAGCAGCACGTCTCAGACGACGGCCCGCAGAGGCAAGGCCGCGAGAGGACAGCCGGGTCAACGCCTGCATCCCGTCCCCGTCTCTCGCCGGCAGCGCTGTCGCACCGCAGGCTCCAGGCCGGCCGGCCGCTCGGAGCACGCCGCGTCCAGCAACACGTCCGAGACGACGCGCCCGCGGAGGCAAGGCCGCCAAAGGACAGCCGGGCCCGCGTCTGCACCCAGCCCCCGTCTCTCGCCGCCTGCATGCCAATGGGGTGTTTGTCTCGTTCCGGGCGGATTCCCTTTCACTGCGGTCGCTGCACGCCTGGGCCGCTGCCCGGAGGGCTGCTGCCCGCTGCGATTCAGTGACCGCCGTCGGCCAACAACTTTCACACCGGAGGGCATGGCCCGATGACCCTCGCAGCAGCGGCCCGGCCCGGCCCGATGCCCGACCGTTGGCGCCGGGCGTCCTCGTCTGGCCTGATCAGAACATCCGGCGGCCAATGAACGCTAATACGTACGGCGGAGGGAGGCTCTGAGCTGGCAGGTCACGTGGTTCTGTGTCTCTGGTCGAGGTGTTGGCTAGGGGAGTATGGGGTTAGGGTCAGAGACGATATGGCTCACGATGGAACGGTGGCGCTGAGAAAAGAAAAAAAAACATCGTAGATTGGAATACAAGCCTGCCAGCTCTCGTTTGGGACGCAAATTCATATCCAAGTATTCTTCAAAGGACTGTCCACATTTGTATACGGTTTTGAACTGAAATGGCCATTTTCACGACAATGCCCCGCAGTTCACAGCTATGTCCTTTTTAATACCTAAAATCCCCTTTTTTACCTTGATACGCGTGAGGTTGTGCAGTTGTCTGTGACGCGCCGCCTACTGTCAAATCACACAGACATGCACGTCATCGAAACGTCACGCGAGCATCCCAGCCAACGGGCTGCGTTGGGCTCATGGTCAAAAAAAGTATGGCCACTTCGTGTCATCATCACCATCATCAAACATTCGTGTTTACGATGATGCAGCACGAAGTCTTCCCACGACAGATGGCAATTCATTGGATAATGTCCAGATTTCTTTGCCGATTGCGTGTCTCTATCACGAACTGCGTTTCGCATGAATGGCGCAGGCATTTGGGCAACTAATAGATACAACGGACATGGGGCTACAAATCTCATAACTTAAGAATGGCACGGTGGCCAAAAATACAACTGCAAGTAAGGAAGATGCCGTTACGAATACTATCTCAGCACACCACGATAAAAGACCAAAAAGAAAACGTGAGCATGCGCTCGTTCATTTTTACGCACGTAAATCAGCGCCACCTCGCGACATATCGAAGTACCAAAAGTGAATCACACCGTCTTCTACAGCAGCAACTCTTACGCGGCAATTCTGGAAGCGTCTCTGACCTCATAAAAACGTTCCGTGACGTAACCAAACAACAACGTAATGATAAGCACGTCTACTAGATGGAAAAACTTTGATATTTAAAGTAATCACTTGTGCTTATAAAGCGTGCAAATATCGCTGGTGTGCTTCTATCACGCACGATGATTGCTTCAACATCTTTAGATATGGAACAGTCTCCTTACACGCCATACGGGACGCAAAATTAATAGCAAAACTGATAAGCTATCGCATGAACAACGTTCCCCATACCTGGTTACAGACAGAAGGGGCTGTGCCGTTGGTGCATTGTTCTCATAGGCCAATCATCAATGATGTATATCCGAAAAAAAAACATATCACCGACTACAGGTCGGCCTGTAGTAAAGGCTAACGCTTGCGTGCATAGAACAAAAGTAACCACAAGACAAAGCAGACACGGCTGTTACACATCACCATTTGCATGGATTGGCAAAAACAAAAACGGAAATGGGTACGATGCAAGAGCTTCCTCCCCGCATATGCAACAGCTGGAATTCCCTGTAATCCGTTTGCTCATAGGTCCGCTCCGTATAAACGACAGCCTGGTCAGGCCTAATTACGAACAAGTAACGTCCGGACACATTTTGCAGCACCCTGCGGGTGCCGTCATGTCAAATCACACACGCCGACAGCCTGCTTTTTTAAAATAAATTTGATCTGAGCCCTTTGAATGGATGGATTTCTGGGATCTGCGCTCACGCTAAGCAGCGTTTGCTGTACGAGCCCTGACCCTCACCATCCGATCGCGCAATTTCAGGCAACAGCAGAATTTAGTGACGAAAGCTTAACGTGCCGCGACGCTCGGCACGGTCCGTCCTGTCCTGACGTCAACTGACCTTTAGCGCGACCGCTGCCACCGGCCGCAGGTCATACCTGCCCTTGGCAGGTATTGCCTACGCAGGTATGGCAGGTATGGCCTGCGTGATTTATCAGTGGGGGACGTGCTGTTTCCGTGCAGCTGTCGTGCTGTTTCTCGTGCCGTACCCAGCCACCTGGGACAAACTAAAAACAGAAACAAACGTGAAGCAGCCCCAAGCCTTTCTCAGTCTGACCGCCAGATGGCCAGCAGCGCGCGCCCTCCGCCGCCGGTCCCGGGCCCCGCCGTGCTCTGTAGTTGATGCCGCGGAGCGTGAGATGTTGAAACCGGCGCCGGC